GCACTCAAAAGTCAGTCCATAGAACGAGTACTTTTGAGTGGAAAATGCTCAGAACTCAATGCGCCGGCGTTGCTCTCCTCTCTTCTGACTCGGAATTCCCGGCTCTCTGGGAGAATTGCTCTCCCTATTTTTGGCGTCGCTTCGCTGCCGCTTTGAAAAAAGCCTTCGCTTTCGAATTTCCACTCATTCGTCTCTCAAATTTCGCAGCGCTCACTTCACTTTTTCCGTGCACTGCTCCCCGAAAATACAAAAAATATAAAAAATTATAACTTGAACCGAAAAAACAGAGAGGCGCACTAACTAAAAAATAGAAAAAAACTATTAACTAAACTCTGCCGCCGCCGCCGTTGCTATCTCGCTCGCACCTCTCCGATCGCCGCGCCGTGCTTAAAAACAATCGCCGATTGACGTTTTGTTTTACTTCGCCAGCTGCCGTCGAGTTGAGTCGAAGTGCAAAATAAATAAAGTTTAATAAAACGCTAAGTATCAGAGCAAAGAAATGTACTAACCAAACAAGCCCAAACGGAACTGTAAATATTTAAAATAACTACTCAAAATACAAACCCACGAAACTGAACATCCAAAGTTCAAAAGGTAAACGATCAACCAAAGTTAATAAATTACATAAAAAGCCTCAAGTTTTTTTATACCGCCTAGTGAAGCTCGTGAAAAATAATAAAAATGTCAGCAAAAAATAAAACAAAAATACAAAAATTGACAAAAATAAACTTAATCACACACACAAGCGGGGTTGCGTATACATATTATAAAAACATATAATTGCTATTTTAATCAGACGCTGTTTGTGTGTGTGAGCGATTATCAAAATCTGAAACGGTCCAGAATAAATCTAAAAAAGTCAAAAAAAATCGAAAAAAATCAGAAACCCATTAGAAAAGTGTGCAAATGTTTGTTACCCGCCCGGAAAGAGAAAAGCCATCCGAAAATTAATAAACGATCAAATAAAAATAAAATCAAAAGTAGATTCAAGTAAAAGAGACTAAGTTTTACACAACACTCGTTCCTAACCTGTAAAGTCCTCTGCTGCTGCGCTGCAACTGCGACGTCGACTGCAACAAATTGCATTCTGCGTGCATTGTCCAAAAAAAAAAAACAGAAAAGAAAACAGAAAGGAAAAAGAATTGCTCTCTCTTCATCTCTCTCTTTCTTCGCCTCGCTTTTCGCCACATTGCACTTGCAAATTTGCATTACATAAATTTGCTGAGCACTTGCATTTGTTTATTAAATGTTAATCGGCTGTTTTATGGCCAAGAGTGCGTGTAATTAAATTACATTTCTGCTGCAATCGATTACACAACCCCCAGTAAACATAAAACACAATTCTCAATTCTCCACTCTTTTGATCTCTTCCTTTTTCACTGTCTTTTCGTTCATTCAATTTACTGCACACACACACTCACAATCGCAGTCAATTACTGCTATTTTAGGGGGGCTGTGCTCAGGAAGAAGAAGAAGGGGGCGGGACAGGGGGCCACCCGTTATTGCCCTGCAATTGAAGGAGGAAAAAAATAAAAGGGGAGCAAAATATAAAAAAGGAAAGAAAGAAGAGCGAATTTACAGCCTCTCGCTTTTCAGACGATGACAATTTGTGTTTGTTGTCGTCCGCTTGTTTTGTTCCTCTCTTTTTATGGTCGCCGATTTCTCGTATCTCTCTTCCGTTCTTCGACGCAATTTGTTACACAATAAGAAAAAGTGTTTGATTGCATCAAAGAACTCGAAAAAAGAATTTTCCAAACAAGAGCGTTTTTTCGAAGTTCGGCAGGAGCTGATTTATCGTTAGTCTCAAAAAGGCTTACTTCTAGAGACTTTCCAAAAATATTCTTAAATTTAAAAATAAATGTGCTATCTTCTAAATTCTAAATCTAAAAAACGATCTGGTTGTTTTCAAAATTCTCCCAAAACTTGGAGATTCTAGAAACGGGAACCAGTCAAACAGTTCACTTTGCCATTGTTACGCTTTATTTGTTTTGTTTTTTACTCAACTGCAGCTTGTTTAGTTGCGCTGGGTAATTAATTTGTGCATTTGCGAAAATCGTGGGGAAAAGGGGCGCGGCAAAAAACATCAGGCGATCGAGCAGCGCTGCTGACTTCGCACTTGAGAATCCATCAGAACTCTTGAAGATTCGCTATCCGATTTGCGATTCACGATCCACGTTCCACATTGTACATTACACATTCGAGATTCCACCTCAAAAGCGAGTTGCACAGTTCAAGAGTTGAGAGGAAAGATCGCGGGTGCACTTTCTATCTGTATTCCTTATCAGTAGTTGCACTCGTTCTCGAACATTTCATCCAATCATCAGCACTTCAAACAGCCTGGAGTGTTTGTTGCCGATGCCTGTTACAAACATCAGCGGTTGTAATAATAGCACCATCCCAAGTGCAAGTATTCGAGAGTTTTCTAAAGTATACCCCGTGAAATTATATTAAAATCAGTTATTTAATGGACTTTCTTGAGTAATAACCTACCTTTAAAGCAAATATCCAACTATTTTGTTAGATCAGAACATTTATGCAATTAAAAATGGTTCTAATTCCTTCAATTGTGACATGAGTAATAGATTGTAACCATAATAACTGAGATAATCATGATATATTATAGCTTACTCGTTAAACTAACACGCCTTGCACCTTAAATTCAATTAGTTCAAAAGGCCCATTAAATATATAAATTTAAAGTTTTCATTCGAGCACATTGCTTCTCGCATACTAAAGATGTGCTGCACGATATCATTGATTAGTTCTAGACGCTTTAATCATTGTTTTCAAGTCGCTAGGTTCATTTTTGCAGCACTCCAGATTAACTAATATATTAGTCTAGCGAAAAAGTGTCCAAAAATAGCCTTGATTCAACTGGTTTTATTTTATAAAGACCTTTCTCCGAATTAGACTGGCGTAATGTTAGTGCTATTATTTCAACCGTAGCTGTACGTATTTACTTGAGTATTTTTGGGGGCTTTTAATTAATAATGTGATGTAAGCCCCTCTGTGAAAAGGGGGCCAATCCACCGGTAACGAGTGTCGGTTCTAACTGGTTGCAACTGGCCCCAACAATTGGCGAGCTCTACAATGAAGATGAAGCAATTATTTAAGTGTAGCAGTAGACTAGTTGTATCTATGTATATCGGTTGGGAGGTTGTATCTTTTGTTGTCCACTCAGTGCCTTCCGGTTTAACAGCAGGTGGGTGTGTTCCTTTCCAGGGGCGTATAATACTGCGTACATTTTCTCAGTCTTTCTAATCAATCGATTTGCTTTGAATCGAATTACGCAACACCCAAAAGTCGTGTGACATTGAGCCCCCTTTTCCGCCTCCAGAAAGTGGGCTGGTCACCTCTGAAGAAATCGTAGATCTTCAATTGTCCAGTGGACAGAAGACTGAAGACGGAAGACCCTTCACTTCAATGTCGAGAGCTAGCTGCCCCTCTATATTAACTGCTTCTCGAACGACGTATTTTCTACTATTTCACCAGAGGGACGAGCCCCCAAAAAAGAGTCGTTGTTGCTGCTTCTTCTACCAACTGGAAATTATAAATAATGCTCGGCTGTTTGTTTTGGCGGTGGTGTTGGTGATATTCCGCCTCATCATGTCCAGCACTCGAGGCCGGGGCACAAATATAGCGCGGCTATCGTGCGATGGCGCCTTTATCGCCAGATCACTCGTAGCACGCATTCCACGGGGGTTTCACGGGGGCCCCACGGGGGCTTCACGCGGCCGTCGTTTGACTCTCAGCCACTTTGTGCATGCACAGCATTTTTTTATAGGGCTACACTGGCCCAGCTATACGTCCATAAAAAAACGTAGGCCCGAGACGATGTGCCGTGCTGAAGATCAGGCTGAGTCGGCCGACCGCGCGAACGCCCGAACGCCCGTATCTTATCGAAAACAAAACTGGAAAAAAATAGTTCCTGAGACATCACATCATAGCAGTGTTGCCGGGTTCTCTACGGATTTCTTGGTCTGGGCTTTCAGTTCCACCGGATTACTGATTGCACCCTATATGGCTTATCAATCTGGGTCTGTTCCCGCTGTTGTTCTTGTCATTTCGCCATGTTGTTGTTGTTGTGACACACCCACCTAGTTCCATTTGCTATCTATCACAAGGGGAAAAACATTTTGAGCGATGCCCAGCCGTTGTCGTCGGTTTTTTGATTTCGCTCGGATAATTGATAAGGCATAGGTGGTGAGTCTCGAAAATCGGTCTGGCATTGGGGAAACGTGACTTATCGGCGGGCGAAAATTTTCCAATGGCAATTATGAAATCTAGGAAACCGCCCAGAAGTCGCTTATTCGGAATAAGAATGATCGGTGATCACGTTTGACCCAACCAAGTGAGGACTTTTAACTGCAATAGAGGTGTACAGAAATTAGTTTTAGGGTTTTTTACAAATATTTTATAGTGACTGATGATTAATTTGACAATAATCTTCCATTGAATATTATTGAATAATATTAATTTAAATAAAAATAAAGTTACAAATTCGAATGCTATTAAAATCCTAGAAAAATTTAATCACAAATTAAAGATACGATAGCCCGCCTTTATCTTACAAAGTCTCAGTAAAATCAGAATGCAGGCATTGCTGAACACTCTTATCAAAAACAGAACTTGATAAGTGATATTAACGTTTTTATAAAACGATATTGTTTTCTTTTCCGTGTATGGTAGGCGAAAATTGCTAGTTACTGTGAGGAAATTCCGGCTCAATTCGGCTCATTAGGGGACCCGTAAAGTTAATTAAGTCCGGTTAATTGGTATATACTAACCCAGAACAATTGCCAAGCAGTTGTGCAGCACACATTGGACTCTCGCTTTTGAGATACAATGTATGCAGATGTTTCATTGTTCGAACGAATGCCGCGAATCGCTTTTTTCTCTCGCCGTGGTGTAACAAACGAGTGCAACGCGAATAAGTTACCGAAAATAAGCATTTCAATTAAACCCAATCGAAACGCGCTTTGTGCCTCTTCATCTTGCAGTAATCTTGAGAATAAACATGAGATATACTCACTCGCTCAACAAACGGCGGCAAGTGAGCAAAAGGAACTACAACAACCAGCTGAAACCGAGAAGGAGCCAGAGAAATCAGCCGTAGATCCAGAAATAATCCTGCGGGAATCCAAGGAAACAGAAAATAAACCCATACCCATTGAGGTCGAAGATAAACCTCTGGAAATTGAGAGCAAGGAAGCGGAGAAAATAGCTTTACCAGAAACCAGAAAAGTAGCTGCAATAAACAACAACCCACCAGTAATCGATCAGATAAGGCAACTGAGCAACGAGAGCAATCCTTTAAAGCAGATCCTGCAGGCGGAGTTCCTGATCAAGCGGGAGAATCACTCGCCAGGACCGCGAACCATTACCGCCCAGCTGCTCAGCGGGGGAAGTAACAGCGGATTGCGTCACGAGGAGAAGCGTCCCAAGTCGGTGACCGCTTCCGTCTTCCGTCCGAGTTCTGCTCCACCTTTGACCCCAACCCCAGTAGCAACCCCACCGCCACCGCCCGCAGTAGCAGCGGTCCTCTGCAAGAAGAATCCACTTCACTCCGTGGAGCCCTCGCTGCCGCCCACAACCACCGCCACGGCAGCCATAATCTCCTCGAGCAATCAGCAGTTGCAGATCCCACAGCCCAGTCATCTGCAAAATACCCAGCAACCAGCTCAAGATATGAATAAAGGATTCTGCTCGCTCTTTGCTGACGATGGACGAGGTCTGACAAGTAAGTAGACGAATTCTTTTTCATATAACTAGGGTATGTTCCAGAAATCTCTATCTATTTGCATTCAAAGTTTGAAGTTGAGCAAGTTACTCCTATTTCTCAAGAATTCGCGTTTCTAATTCCAGAAGTTTCTATCTATAAACATGTAAAGCTAAAATTAACCGAATAACTCTTATTTCTCAAGAATTCGCGTAGTATGCATACTTTGTCTAATTAAATTGAACGAATTATAATTTTATATCTCTTTGCTTAAATACGATCTATTGATAAATTGGAATGTTTTATCTTTTTCAAAATCAAAAGTCCCTGCTCTTATCAAGAAAGTGCATAATAATCTAAAGCCCTTGTTGATATCAATATGTGATTGAAAGGTTTTTAAAAATAAAATTACCGCGATAGCAGGTTTAGCATTTCGATTGATAGAGATTTCTGTTACACCCCCTTCAGCTATATACATAACTCAGTTCGGTTGTTAGGGAAGGTATAGCTCAATCAGCTGATAACTGTAGAAAATAATAGAAAAACAGGAAAGATTCGCAAACCACTTTGGAGCAGTTTTTGTGTGAAGTGCATCAGGTGCAGTGCTCTGCGTTCAAGGCTAAAGTCAACGTTTTTCAAAGCAAAGCAGCGCCAACTTATACATATGCATTCCGGTTGGCTTGTTTATAAATTCTATGCAAAAATAGGTAAAATCGACGAAAGGCAGGGGGAACTTGGTGACGCGCGCTATTTGATGTGATTTGACGCATTGTGCGATTTGATTGGTCAGTCAGTCAGTCAGTCAGTCAGTCAGTCAGTCAGTCAGTCTGGCAATCCGACAACCTGGCATTCATTCAGTCAGCTAGTTGGTCAGTCATTCTGGCGATCGCTTTGCCTTTTGGCTCGCTTATCTGCGGCCGCAATTTGCGCAAATAAAACTATTTATTTGTAAAGGCACAAATGCCCCGCGCCAACCCTTCACTCGAAAAGTGCATTAGTAAACAATGTTCGGTTCGCTCGCCTGATAAGTGCACACTATATAGGCACCATACCATATAGTGCTGTACATATACGGAGGGTTATATATTATACGGTATGGTATATGGATTCCCGTCCGTACTTAACCGCAAGCCGGTTGCCGATGCAATTGCCCGGCTCTTATGTCACAATTTGCCGGCATTACGCATACGCAGTGTTGTGCACATGAAACCCCAGGGGATCGTTTATTGAAAGATTAGAGTTTACCGGTGTTGGGTTTGTTTTTCAAAGTGCAGATCGCGGTTATGGAATCGGTCAATATATTAACGGCACTGTAAAGTGGGTTATCTAAGGCAATCAATGTGATATTGTGTATACGCAGTGTGTTACAGGGAAACCTTTTTGTTTGGTTCACTGTAATATATATAAATAGATTAGTAGAGTGTAGGATATAATAGGCTCTATTAAAATTCTGAGCTTGCATGAGTAACTTATTACTTTTTAGTGATTATCATTTATGGAAGTAGTGTCTATTGAGGGATTTCTTTTTATAGAATCCGTAAAAATAGTTATAGTTCTTTTTTTATGGAAAATCATAAAAATTTCCTATCTACACTTTCCGCTAGGCATCATATGATTAAATTATTTAGAAAATTGTCACCGTTTGTTTTGCCCACTATTTTTCTTTCTCTATGGAAATATTTGTGTATATCAGATGCTTTTTTTCTTCTGCCCATCGAGTGAATTTTTCCGCTCTTTTTTTGCTGCCGCCTGGTGACAAAAACAGAAATATGAATATTAACTTGAGCCAATTAATATGCTAAGCGATGTGGCTGTCATCGGGGGGAGAAGAGGGGTCCTCGAAAAAAGAGTGTATTTTTTGGCGCGTGTGCCAAGGTCCGTCGGTGGATCAAGCATGTGTCTCATGTGCCCCTCTCCAAAACCGTACACCCCATCTCCAAGTCTCCGAGTAGCCCAGTATTTCCGACACTTTTCAAGTGGACCTGCAGCCAGCCCCTAATCGCTTTCGTTTTCGTTCAGCTTCGGCCTCTTTGTGTTGACATTTTGCTGGGCCTGCAGACGCGGATATATAGAGATACTTTACTTTACTTTACTCGACTTTCTTCCCACCGCATCGTCTATATTTATTTTCGTTGCGTCGCGGAACGTAAATAAACAGGGGAAATGCCTCGGCTTTATTTTCAGCACAAATCGAATTGCCTTAAAGGGGATATTTGTTTTTATGTAATTCTTGTCACCGCTGTTGTTTTGGTGTTTGGTATTTGGTATTTTTCCAAACACCTCAAATATTCCGTTCGTTAGCCTAATCAGCAGTTGTAACACTCGATCGGCCGTCAGATACTGGGGTTTTCAAGGCGTTACACTGTGGAATCAGAGATAACCAGGGAGGGGGCAGTTTCGGGGGCTTCTTCTCGATGGCCAAACAAAAGTAACCCGTTGACAAACAAAAACAGAGGGTCCCAGTGTAATTACCTTATGCTCTTATCCGCTCACAATCTACAAAGGCAAATATTTGTAACGATAGCACGGGGGGAACACACTCTCGGCCATAAATATCAATTTATGGGCTTTGCTTTCAGTCGGTGGCTGGGCAATTATGCTGTGGAAATGAAAAGGCAATGGAATATATAGGGATCGAAGGGGAATGTGGACAACGCACTTCTATCGTGATTAGCACGTGTGATAAGCACGCCCATCACGACCAGCGCAGCACAAATGTGGACTAAAAAATAACAGGCGGACGTATGGTTGGATTGGATTCTCTCCTAATCAGCCGGGGTTCAAGTTCACAGCTGATATGATGATGAGTTCGAGTACGATTTGCAGTGCTCAGTCTGCTGGCTGCTGTGTAAATTGTCAATATTTTTTCGGGCTCTTACATAAAGCTATTATAGACTATAGAATGTACTAGTATCACGCCCTGTTCCCATTTTTCTCTGCGGGCTCTTAAGTGACCGTGTCCGTTGTTTACATCTTTCGATTCTGATTTGGAACTACGTCACACCACGAGTCGCCATCGTCTTCAATTGCAGATGATGACATAAATTTATTTAAATTGAAGCCGTTTTGCTCTCGGCTTTCGTCTTTTGGGTTTGAGGTTGAGTTCTTCTAGTGTGCCGTAGATTCCTTCACAGTCACACGCCTCGAGCATGAATTTTGGGTATGAGTTTGGTGTGCGTGCTAATGTGGCAACCTGTTTCCTCAAAAACTTTCGAATATAAAACACAAACCCACGCCTCAAGTGCACCGAATGTGGCTCAAGTGCAGAGATGCCTTTCACAAGTGCCTCACGACCGACCTCTCATCGGTTGCACAGGGAAAAACATTGGTTCTCTAGATAATAACAGTTTGGAAAGGCTTAACAAAGTATTTAAAATCACTGGAGAAATACTTAAGATCATAATTTGATCATCAGTTCTTCATAGAACAGAGTTTCTTCAGAGCTCTTGAATATTTTAATACTTAACCCTTTGCATTACAAATATTTTTCCCCGTGTAACTGGGTTACTTACTGACCGGGTGACTCGATGACTGGGTGACTGGATCACTGGGTGATGGCCAAGTCTCAGCTGCGGCTGCACTGTTCTCCTTAGCCTTGCGTGTAGGCCCAGTTAGCCAGTTAGCCGCTAAATGCCATTCCCGGCCTTGCACTTTGGCGAAAAACAACACATTCGATGAGCTGTAATATATAGAAGCACTTTGCAAACATCTCATAAAATGCACTCCTCGATTCCGATATAGATAGACCCCCAATGGACGTTGAATAGGGGCTCTGTTCTGTATTATCATGCGCCATAATTTCTGTTGTTTTTTCCGCAAAAAGCTTTGCCAACGTTGAGTAGCACTCGAGTGCCATAATTACAAGTCGCACTGCCGGGTTGGGGGCTCCATAAAGTAATGGTGCGGTTTGCGGGGGGTTAGACCTTTGGGCGTGCATTGTTAATTAATTTGTTTGTGTCGAATGCAGCGACCGCAAGAGCAAGCAGATGCCGGGGCAGCTCCAGCTACAAGCTGTGCAAATCCCTTACACACCGCTAATCTGATCTTTATTGTCGCTTCCCTGAAAATGGCATTGGAAAATGTATTGCACAGGGAAAAAATAGCATTCGTTATTCTATATCTCAAAATATGAGTTTTAGAGTGACCTTCCCCTTTTGCATGCACAAGCTTACTAAGTGTGACCATACCGGCAAATATCATGTCGGAATTAGGGGTTATTAATGTGAAGTTTAATTTGGTAAGATTTTATAGGTTTTTCCGAGTGTAATATGCATTAACTAAGGCTAGTGTGGGTTGGTGAAGAGCCGCAAACCCTTTCCAGGCAATCTGCTTACTATATTCTGGCTTATATGGCTGCCCGGTGGCAGTTGCCGCAGTTGGGATTTATCCGCATTATATATGGCTCTTTGATAGAAGTAAGCGCCTGAGCCAAAGGCAAACAATGCACTTGGACTTGCATTTGAAATTCTATTTGGCCTGCGGTCTCTCCGTTGTTTTAGTTAGTTTTTCATTTCCATTTTGCAACTTAATAGTCGGCACACACAGGCGGTTGGGACAGTTTTATTAGCATACCATCTAGTATAGCAAACCCCATGACGGGAATGGGATTCGAATTGGGATGGGGATGGAAATGGGGATGGGTATGGCTTGATAGCTGAGGCTCGGCTTTAGGAATTTCTGTCCCAGATGACGCACAGCCCGAATCTCGCGGGAAGATCGCCCCTGGTTCAAGACCCCCATATTGATAAGCGCCCTTGCACCTGATCTGGGGCGATGCACCCGATAGTTATTTAATTCCGTAAAAATAGCCAGAGTTCCTGTTTTGAGGATTGGATGGGATTGCTTGTTTTTCGCACCGCTTCGCTTGCATATTTATTCCGCGTACGTCAATAGGGCCAAAATGCTGATTAATGAGTCGTCCGGCCATAAAAATCATGGCTCTGCTTCGATTCCACTGTGGAGGCAATTGGAGCGACTAATTCACGAGGGGAGCGTTCAATTAGATTCAATTGAGAGCTGTCAATTAGGGGCGACTCAGGCGAGCGATAATTGAAATTTCGGCAGCACAGGGTTTCTTTTTCTTTTACCGAACAGAGTTAATTAACAGTAGACCAACAAAAACCGAATTGAGATGTAGCACGGCAGCGCGAAACTAGGTGAAACCGCCACTAACTGCATATGTTTTCTGTCTTTTCTCAATTTCAGTGCTTAAGGAAGAACCCGATGATTTGTCCCACCACCTGGCCTCCACCAACTGCATCCAGCTGGACGAGATGACGCCCTTCAGTGACATGTTGGTCGGCCTCATGGGCTCCTGTCTGCTGCCCGAGGACATCAATTCCCTGGACTCGACCACCTGCTCCACGACGGCCAGTGGCCAGCACTACCAGAGTCCCAACAGCAGCAGCACCAGCAGCAGCAGCAATACTGCAGCAACCAGCAATACCAGTAGCAGTAGCAACAGCTATGCCAACAGTCCGCTCAGCCCACTCACACCTACGCCCACTGAAAGGAATACCAGTCATCAGCAGCAGCAGCAACACCAGCAGCAACACAACCAGCAGCAGCAGCAGCAACACCAGCAGCAGCAACATCATGCCCAGCACCACGACAACAGCAACAGCAGCAGCAATATTGATCCCCTGTTCAACTACCGCGAGGAGTCGAACGACACAAGTTGCTCGCAGCACTTGCATTCGCCCAGCATCACCTCAAAGGTGGGTTTCCTTAGATCTAAACCCCTTAATACCCCTAATAACCACATTTTCCCTTGTGTTCCAACAGAGTCCCGAGGACAGTAGCCTGCCATCGCTGTGCAGTCCCAATTCGCTGACCCAGGAGGACGAGTTCTCCTTCGAGGACTTTGCCATGCGTGCTCCCTATATCCCCATCGATGATGATATGCCCCTGCTGACGGAGACGGATCTCATGTGGTGTCCACCAGAGGATCTGCAGGCCATGGTGCCCAAGGAGATCGATGCCATACAGCAGCAGTTGCAACAGTTGCAGCAGCAACATCATCAGCAGTACGCCACCAGCAATACTGGCTACCAGCAGCAGCAGCAGCAACAACAGCAGCAGCAGCAACACCAGCAGCAGCATTTCTCCAACTCACTGTGCTCATCGCCAGCCTCAACGGTCTCGTCATTGTCGCCATCGCCGGTGCAACAGCAGCATCAGCAGCAGCAACAGGCGGCGGTCTTCACCAGCGATTCCAGCGAACTGGCGGCTTGCTGTGCGGATCCGGAAACGGAACCCTTTCGATTCTGGGTGGAAGTGGAGTTACCGTTGCGGAGGAGTGCAACGAGCGACTCCAGCAGCAACATCATCATCAGCAGCAGCAGCAGCAACAAAATAGCAACGAGTTCAGGACCTTCCAGCAATTGCAGCAGGAGTTGCAATTGCAGGAGGAGCAGCAGCAGCGACAGCAGCGCCAGCATCAGCTGCAACAGCAGCAGCAGCAACAACAGCAGATACTGAGCCTCAGCATCGAGTGCAAAAAAGAAAAATACGATGTGCAAATGGGAGCCAGTTTATGCCATCCCATGGAGGATGCATTTGAGAATGACTACAGCAAGGACTGTAAGTATCTTGGGGAAAAGAGTGGGAAAAATAAAAAAATATATTGAAATCATTAGTAATATTATGTTCTAAAGAATTCAAATAGGGGAATAGATCTTAAAAACACACAGGTAGACTTTAGAGAATATAAAACACTAAACAGAACATTTAAGGCATACAAATTATACTTATCAAAAATAGCTAAGACTTTAATTTTCTGTTTATGTTGTATTTTAACAGACTGCAGACTATTTTTGTTTATGGACACTTTTAAAAAGAGCGATTATAGAAAGACTAGTCAGTCCGCAGACTAAATATAAAAAAACAAAAACGTCTGAGCAATTGAGGGGTAATTATGGAGTGGAAATTTACGAGACTTTCGTTCTTTAATAGAAAGAGACTTTTGATAGATCTAATAGAGCTGAATAGATTGATTTACGGCCTTTTGGGACCTTCCTCTCCGTGTTGGCTTTGGAAATATTCCACACTTTTGCCTCCTGCATTTGGAGGGGCCTAATTTTATGGCACTTCCCTGGCTAAAAATAACCGTGGAAACTTGCTTTTTTTTTATGATATGCTGCCAACGCACACGCACACGCACTCCAACGCCTACATGTAAAAATAGAGGGAAACATGAAGAAAATTTCAGAATTTTTGTTTCGTGTTGCGGAAGATGTCACTTTGGGTTGGGTTTTATTATATTTTGTTTGTTTTGTGTCGGGGAACTGCGGGAGAGCTAATTGATGTGGGTCTGCCGCTCCACTCCAGTGGGTTGTAAGCGATTTGCGTAATTTTCACACATTGCTCTCTTACCTTTGACACATGTCACGGCACGAGATCTGTGATTGATGCCCAGAAACTGACGGAATCGGTGGCATCAACCCCTGGCCTTGTCACTTGTATTGACTGCAAGTGCTGGGATATATGTCAGGTAGTAAAAAAGGAGGGGAATATGGAGGATATTGACAGATGCCTTTAGGCCTTTATGAATTTTCCACCAGCTAATCGCCACTGATTTATGTCACAACACCGGCGAAAAGCGAAACGAGCTGTAGATACTAGCTACCTATTATATAGACACAAAGGCAGGCAGATATAGATATATTATATGGAATTTGCCCACTTATTTATGTGCAAAATGCTTGAGAGAGCCAAATATTATTGTTTTAAATTGGCACCAATGTCATGGGCAAAGGAATTAATTTTTGGCTGGCCATTGGATTCAAAAATTTAGGATTAGACAGCACATTTCCATTAAATGCTACTTGGTTTCTTATTAACTTTGGATTTGCTTTTACTTTTTAGCCACAAACCTGGATTGCTGGGATTGCTGCAGATGCAGGTGGCGGAGGCGGCTCCCGTGAGTCCCACTCAAGCCTCATCGCCGGCCCCTGCAAGGTGACCACCATCCAGTTGCTCCAACAGCAGCAGCAGCAATTGCAGCAGCAGCAGCAGCAGAACATCATCCTAAATGCAGTGCCATTGATTACCATACAGAACAACAAGGGATTGATGCAGCAGCAGCAGCAGAGCAGCTGCAGCAGCCCACTTTAAAGCTGCTGAATGGAGCCAACCTGCGCCGGTGACCACCAAGGCCACCATTCGCCTGTGGAGAGCAAGCCGGCCACCACGACGCCACCCCGAGTGGCCAAGGTGAACCTCGTCCCCCAGCAGCAGCAGCATGGAAACAAGCGACACCTAAATAGTGCGACAGGAGCGGCAATCCCGTGGAGTCGAAGCGCCTGAAGAGCGGCACCCTCTGCCTGGATGTCCAGTCCCCGCAGCTCCTGCAGCAGCTGATTGGCAAAGATCCTGCCCAGCAGCAGACCCAAGCAGCCAAGCGAGCGGGAAGCGACCGGTGGCAACAATCTTCGGAGAACAAGCAGCAGAAGCAGCAGCAACAGCAGTCCAACTCGGTCCTGAAGAACCTGCTGGTCAGCGGACGCGATGTAAGTGCCGGTTACTGCATTGTGCCCATGCGGCCCAAGAAGCAGCTGGCCAAGGTCTAGACTCTCGGGTCCCAGGACAAGAGAACGACCTTCCACCCGCCTCTCAATTAGCTAATGGAAGCACTCACAGCCGGCTATGATGATAAAAAAGAGAAAAAGAGATACAACCAAGGATTGTTAGGCTAAGCGAATGGACAAGCCCATTTCTACAATTTGTCTTTGTAAATGGATCGATTTTATATTGCTAAACCTAGGAGATACGACTACCACTGCATCAGCTAAAATGTAAACTTTAAACTTTAAACTGTACACTGTAACCAACAAAGCAACCTCCTCCCGCTGCGAGAGGAAGGCGGGCCTAGTTTTAGTCCGTTTTTGTAGTCCCTAGACTTAGTCCCTAGATATATGATATATACCTAGACATGTAGCGGATAGATCTAGTCTAGATGTGTAAGAGAGCTGCAGTTGCAGCTGCAGCGTGGACTTTAAAATTATAAATTTGTAGACTATTTAAATAGTGCTAACCAAGACCGAGAACCGATCTGATCCAATGCGATGCAACCAGAAGAGGAGCAGCGATTGATCGATCGATCGATAATTTTAAGTTGTAGCTTGGCGCGATTTGTTGATTTCTTTTTAAGTTACCGACCTAAGAACCTAAGCAAGTTGTTAAAAATCTTCTGTTCTGTTGAGCAAAAATTCTGTTGTACATACGACGAGGAGGAGCAGCGGTAGGAATATATACTATTCGAGTAGTTATAGCGAGTGATCACCGTGCCGTAGAAGAGAATCATCACAGCGGATCGCAGACGCACACACACTCTGAACGTAGTTTTTATTAGCGATGTAGACGAGATGAGATGAGGAATGCGAATCAGAGACCGATTGCAATAAAATTGTAAACTGTATAAATTCAAAAAACAAATACGGCAACTTTAAGTTTTTTACTGTGATAGCATTTGCTTTTGTTGTTTGAGTTACCGGCATCCATCAGGTTTATGTTTTCTAGACCTTATCCCTATGATTTTTGTTAACTTATTCGAGCAATTTGTTAGATGTGTAAGCTTTGACTGAGCAAGAAAGAAGCAGCAGCAGCAGTGCAGGAATGCGGATTTGAAAGATCTGATAATCTGATATATATATGATTCAAAGACAGGACGCGTTTGTTTTCGAGTTCATTTTGGCCTTTTTGTTGTCGTGTATTGTGAGATACACGAAAAAGCATGTAAATTGTCAAAATTGTGAACGAAAAGTAGCAAAATTGAAAACTGAAATTCGAGCGCTAAAGGTACAAAAAGCAAAAAAAAAACGAGAAAACGAAATCCCTATAGGAAAGTTAAAGGAAGAAGCAACATTTAAGCTAGACAAATATGCACACTAACTCTAGTGAAAAGTCAAAACTAAACAAGAAGCATACAACACATATACATAGAGCAACTATTAGCAATTAAACAACAATCCTCGTGTTGTCGGCGTTTTCAATCGCACAACACACACATCTAATATATAGATATATATACCTAGACCTAGTTGTATAGAAATAGTGCGTATATAGAACAAACCTCGGGTCGCCACTGAAGCTTTAGCCTGGCAGGAGCTTTCGTTTCTTATTAGTTGTCGTTTTTAATTTAGTTTGTAGTTCCTTTGTTTTGTTTTTATTAGCGTTAAATACACCTAAAACGAAGGAGAAGTCAATTTTCCAAACGAAAGAAAAACCAAAAAACATTATCGAACGCTGTGTTTGTTTTCCTTATTGATTTTAATATGATTTTTTATTAAACCGGGGCCCTTGAATATTTAAAAACCTAAAGAGAGAACACATTGATTTTCGTCGTGTACTGACCTACATACGTGAAAAGGGGTTGTTATATATGTCGTATCACCAACCAATTTCTCATTGTGTCGCCTGGCAGCTTAATTAACTTTCTGAGGCCCCAAAAACATGGCGTGTCTGACGCACATCGATGGCCATACGAAACCGAAATCATAAATATCCAGCTGGGATATATATTATATATATATTAAGCTTTGGAAGGCAAACACAAACTTACACGCAACTAGCCCCGAATTTAAAATGCCAGGACTGCCACTATTGACACTGCTTTAGTCGGCCATTGAATTGGGATTTGAGCCCAGGCCAAAGGACTTCCTTCCACTTTCTCCTGCCACATCCTTTTTGGCATTCCGATAAGACCCGGAGGCAGCGCGTGCCGCATTTGGGCCTCCCATTCGTATTGATTTTGCACCTCCAAGTTGGTGGGGGGAGAAAGCCCACCCACATCTGGGTGCTATCCCTTTGCCTGTTTTATTTTCCTTTCCGTTGCGCACAGCTGACGCTTCTCTTTTTCTGCGACACAACTTTCACTCTCACTTTGACTTTCACTTTCACTCCGGCCCGGCTTCTCTTCTCGTCCGGACTCTCCTCTCTTTTGTTCCCCGGCACGTGTCTCTTATGTACCGAAAAACCCCCTAAGCCCCCAATTCCTGGCTCGGGTTTACTACTCCGGTTTTATGGCCTACACGAGCTTCCCTTTCTGGGGGCGTCGACTTTTTGCGTCACAGCCGGAACTTTTGCGTAGTCCCTGCATTAATGAATCTCCCGACTTTTCCGTAATTGGCTGCAGCTTCTCGGGAACCCAATTTGCATTATTCTCGGGCGACACATGTGTGTACGTGGTTAAATATTTGCTCCCCACTTAGGAGCATCCATCCTATGCCTCGTTTACTTTTTTACTTATGTTTTGTGTTTGTCCAGGCCAGGCGAAAAAAGAAAGCTTCTTGGTTAAATAGAACAATTCATAGGAGTAATTGCCAGATAGATCAGATCGTAACCGCATCTACCTCGTGTGGCAAAGTAAATCGAACAATTGAAACTGAAACCGAAACTACCTCCGGATCAGCCATCAAAATAGTAACCTCAAACTAAGGCCAACAGAAACCAGAAGAAAACCAGACGCCCCATTAGGAAATTTTTACTGTTACTATACTATATATATGCTATAGCAAATTGACAAGCAATCCTCGATATATTTAACTAGACAAATACCAGACAACCTAGCGTGTATATTCCTCTCGATAATCATTTAGCCAGTGCTCCAAATTGGGGTCTTGAGAATATTTGAATAAAAAATAATTATAGCCCGAAAAGACTGCGAGCCGAAAACTCTGAAAAATTAAAAGATATACACATAGCGCGGAACTTATACATAGATCGTAAGCAGGGATGTACATAAGGAAACACCAGAAAACCAGCTAGTAAGCTAGGAGAACTCTCAAAATTAATCGATGTGGCTTTAACTAAACTTAAACTATAGGTCTCCGAGCACGGAAAGTAGCCAGTAATCTGCCTAATATTTAGCTATGATATCGAGATAGTATTAACTAAAGCCCGCGCAAGTCAAATTCAAATCGACTAACGATAACAATAACAATAACGACTTTGTAGTAGACGATCACGGATCCCAATCATCACATTTAGTTGAAATTTTTCGCGTTACGTATGACAGAGGGAGAGAGAGAAAGGTAGGGAAAAAGAGGGTTACGAAATCGAGAATGGGGAAGATGGGTAGCTTTATCGCGACGGAGTGCAAATTCAAGAACGAGAATCGAACAGAAAGTACATACAATACCACAAATATACCACATATACCTCAGTACATGCATAAGTACGATCGTGTGGGCCATTCGGGTTGGGTGTATATGTCATATATATATCCCCCGGATCGGCGCTTACTTACATACATACCTCGTGTATACATATAAACATTAACTAAAATATACATACATATACCTATCCTAAAGCATACGCCTATTCCGACTTTTGATAGTTCAATACACCTTAGTGAATGTTGTGTACCGACCCTTTGATAACGAGCGTTTTTTACTACCTCCAATTCTTGTTGTGTGTGTATCTCGCATTTATAGCAAAGAATTAACTAGATCCCCAGAAGCTAATCCTAAAAACTAGACCCTAAACCCTAAACTAAACTAAATTAAAGCTAATGCAAGTCTAGAGAAAAGTAAATTAAAGTAAACTAAACTAAATGTTGTGTCATTTTTATAGCCTACCTATGTGCGTCGAATACCTCGGAGATGAAGCTTCAGTAAAGTAACGAAAAGTAAAGTAAATTTAGTGAAATTTTGTGACTCACCCCAGCAGCATCTCCTTCAAAAATACAACTTTATTAGGTGCAATTTCCCGGGCTAGCAAATTAAATACTATATAACACACACACCCTTGACATATCCGTTTACTGTAGCCCCTCGTTTTTGGCCAACTCATCATAACTCAAATGAAGATGTCAAGGTGACAAGCACTTTGTGGGCGTTGCAATTGATTTGGCGGCTGGCTGATTTTGATTAATGTTAGGATTAGAATTCGGATTCCTTATCCCAGCAGTCAATTTGAAGAGTTTCCCCGACTGCCTAGTCGTTTTGCCTTGATTAATTGTGCAGGCATTATGTAAAGTTATATTATGATGGCTCAAGTCAACAGGTTGCAGAGGTTACAGAGTTGTGTCTACAGAAGTAACCTTTGGCCCCGAGACTCATTTGTCAGAAGTGGCGAAGAGAAGAACAAATGAAGAGTCATTTTCATGGGACATTTGCTTTTATTTGCCATGCCAACAAATCTCGGTTAATTTGCAACAATTACTTGTGTGTTTTGTCGACAGACAAAGCTGCTTATATGAGGCCCAAAAACTGGAACCCTATCCCTCATAAAACCACCTCCCACCCACACTAAAAACACCGAGAATACCTCCAATTCCACAAGATGTTAGCGTAATTTGAAAGCCTAGAGCGAAACTAGCCTTGAATTAGACTCGAATCGAATCGAATCGATCCGATAAGTAAGGCAAAAACTAGTGTGTAAACGCCGCAAAGTATGCAATATTATACATATATACACCTATATACATAAAAATATATATATACAAGATGTCAAGCAACTTATACATATACAAGCGAATGTAGTACGATACGATATGGCATATGATATGATATCTGGATTATAAAGTATTTTAATAAACTTTTAATAAATATTTTAGTAAATCCAATAAAACAAGAAAAATAAAGCCGAAAACCCCCAGCAAAGCAACTGATCCAGCAACTAAGAGGAAAATCAGCAGGGAAACTGTGTTTTTCTTTTGGAAAGTATCTGAGAACGGGCGTCGTCGATGCTTACAAGTCTCTCCCTTCGATTTATGTGCATACATTGGCTGGCCCTCCAGCATATTTGTATTGACAGGCCAGCCTGGGAATTGATTAATCTCCATTCAGCATTGTATATCTGCCTGCTCCACTGACTGGCAATTTATTAAAATCTTTTGATTGGAATAAATGATGCTGCCAGGGCTAATCAAGTTGCCCCAAACTTGTGCTGCTCTGGAATTGAATTCCCCATTGTCTGTCCTCTCTTGAAGTCGGAACCACTTGAGTATGCCGAGCACATCCAGACACACGGCCAACTTTCTCTCTTATCTTGAGATTTGAGATTTTCGTTTCACTTTCCTTGGCAAATTTGAATCTTTCGCTTCGTTTGCCTGTAAATAAATGACGAATTTTCGTCACACACGAGCGCTGTGACGAAATTAAATTCCACCTTGGAGAACTCACCCCCTATTTCTGAAAAATATGCCGCGTTGGGCGACAATTGCATTACGTATACGCCACATTGTCTCCTTAAAGGAGGCTTGCTGCATGAGTTATTCAAGTTATTGCTTATTGATTTTGGACTCTCAGTTTTCAATTTCACCTCGTTATGGAAGAAGGCCAATCCTTTCGAGCGTTCCTCCCAAGGGATTTACGCAATACGAGTCGAGTTGCGAGTTCCGAGTTCAAGAAAATGTTACTTAAGTACATTTGCTGCCTACTTTTCCTTTTTATTATGCGGTGACAGCAGATTTTTCTGCAGAAACTTGGAGGCAAAAGTTTCCCTTTAATTGTTTTTGTTTCTCTATTGGATTTCGTTTTGGGGGGCCCCCAAAGAGGGCGTGGCACGTGCGAGGCGTCGATGAAATGCGATGCCATAAAAAGGAAAAATCCAATTAGACGCTTTAAACGCAGAGTCCTGCTGCAAAGCCAACTCAGCAGAACACTGGGGAAATCCGCCATAAAGTCGGCTCAAAGCCGCCGTCTAAGACATCAAAATAAAGTGAAACAGCGTTGGAGAGTGGGGACTGCCAATTATTGTAATGCCTTGGCATTTCCGGAAACCTTTACCGTCTTCATCTAATAGTTTCTGCCTTTTGCGTGGCAGCAATTGCCTTTAATAATTTATTAGAGCATATTAGACCAATGCCCGAGCTATGGCAGGCATGCCACACAATATATCAAACAATAAACCTATTACACGGCTCCTACTCTTCTTTATTTTTTTGCCATCGATGATGTCCTGGGGGGCAGTGCGCGTGCCATCGGAGTCTCTGGTCGTTTCGTTACGCATACGCCCTGTCAGCCGGGGACAGGGAAAAATGTTCTTGGGTATTCCCATCGCTGTTTCCGATGGTATAATGCCCTCAGGAGCGAGTTCTTTCTGGGACAGATGTTCTGGCTCCGACTTTCACTTTCTTTGTCCTCGGTTTGTTTACCCATCGCTCAACTTACTACAGCACTTTCGCCTTCGTCCGTAATTGCTGCAATTAGCACTAGCTGCAATCGAAGACTAACAATCGGCGATGAAAGCTTGGCAAGCAGAGGGTCGGGGTGCGGTTCAATGGACTGCAGTTGAACCCTTGTCCAAGGGACATCATCACACCCGTCGGGGCAATTTTTGGCAGTTTTATCTTCGTCATCGGCCGTTGTCAAAGTCTGCACAGAGAACAAATATCTGTATGAGTACGTTTTTTAATATTTTCAAGCTATATTACTTTATTTTGAAAGACGGACCTAATTTTGACCTCTTAATTTAGCGTAAGGTTACTCTAAATCCTTTTTGAAGATCGGTCACACTATTAAATTCTCAAAAGCTTTAATATTTAGTCATTGAACCAAATAACTTAATTTAAATGGTTAAAATATAAATTTTAACTCAAAAAATGCTAATGACATTTAGAAACCGATATTAATGTTTTTTTTTCGGTAATAAAAATGCAGGCGGCTGCTTGGCAGCGTTCGAAATTGATATATTCCCTACTTCCTGTCAGTCTGACTGGCGGGAATGGAAATGGGCACGACTGGTAGCTCTCAAAGCGAAAGTTGGGTCTTTCTTTGTGTCAATCCGAAATCCAAAGCATAATAATGTCCCGCCGCTGGATTCTGTTTCAACGCTAGCAGCAGGACCCATTCCCAGCCATCATTAAAATATGATTTATTGCGGGTATTCCCGCTCCCCCTTTTTGGGGTGGACTTTGCGGCTTGGCTTTTCACTGCCTAAGAGCTTCCTGCTGTGGCTTTACCTCAGGGACTTCCAGGCCTTGAGCGAGTGACTTTAAACATCTTCTTGACTGCGACTTAGCCCCTGATTTTCCGCTCGATTTTCGTTTGACTGTCAAGGTATCAACATCTCCCAGCACAGGTCTCATCGAGTTAATAGGCCCACATTTGCATAGGAATAGCACTGAAACTCAGCCGAAAGTTGCGTTCTCCAGGGAGCCAGAGATGCTAGGGGAATCGGGGAGTAATTTAGCTATAAATCGGTTAATTTAATTTAATTTACGCACAGATTGCGGTGCTTAAGTCATAATTGTAATTTCAATTGTAAGCTATTAGTTATGAATAACAATAAGATTGGATTAAGTAGGGCAATTAGGAAAATCGATCCATTTACTGAGACAAATTTGTACTAATAAATCCTTGAGTGACTTGAAGTTGTGGCGTGCTTCTTACACAGAAAGAAACTTGTTTTGGATATTTAAAAAAGTTATCCCCTTTATAAAGGGCTATGGCATTTTTAAGTATCAAGTTTCTTTCTGAAATTTTATTTTGTATATCAGCCCTGTTCTAATATCTTGTTTTCCTCTTTTCTTTTCCTTTTTCTGCCCCCAAAAAACAGGTAGCGAATCGGAACCCATGATGATCGATGATGACAACTCCCTGGAGCAGCAGGGAAGTCCTCTGGGCAAATATGGTTTGCCCCTGCATTGCCACACCTCCACGTCGGCGGTGCTGCGGGACTATCACCACAATCCGCTGATCAGTGGCACCAACTTCCAGCTGTCTCCGGTCTTCGGAGGCTCAGATGCTGGAGGAGGTGATTGCGAGACCGGGTCAGTGGTCTCCCTGGATGACTCCGTGCCACCGGGCCTGACGGCCTGCGATACGGATGCCTCCAGCGACAGTGGCATCGATGAGAACAGCCTGGTGGACGGGGCATCGGGGTCACCACGCAAGAGGGTGCCCCTAACTTCAACTTCCACCAGTGAGCAGCAGGCGGATTCTGCACCACCGCCCTTGGATGTTACGATCCGCCCAGTGATCCCGCAATCGGCAGAAGAGGAGCTCGAGGGATGCGATGGAAGCAGCAGCAACGCACCCAGCAGGAAGACCTCCATCTCCTTCCTGGACAGCAGCAATCCCCTGCTCCACACGCCGGCGATGATGGACCTGTGCAACGACGACTACATCATGGGCGAGGGTGGCTTCGAGTTCAGCGAGAACCAGTTGGAGCAGGTCCTGGGATGGCCAGAGATCGCCTAGAACGAGTACCATCTTTGCATGCACTGCATTTGAAAAGGGGGCATTTTATTTGGGAAGATAGAAAACATTGAAATTAAAATGAGCATCAAAGAGAAAGCTAACCAAAAGATTGATTTTGAGCCTTGCGTGAAAGTAGTAGTCCGCACAACCAACCTGACAAGACCTATGTAACCCCACCAACAGACGATTCCCATTCCCCCAACCCCAACCGAACACTTGACCCCTGATGACCCCATGCTAACCGACACACATTTACAAACAGGAAGGGTTAATCACACTTGAATAGTTTTGTAGCCATGTTAACTGCCTAGAACAGAAGAATATACACGTATGTAATTTAGTCTTAATGATTTTCTATATGCAAACCGTTTTACACAACAAAAAGGATGAGGAGCAAATTATTAAGAGGAAATAATAACCATATAAACTACGATATAAATTACGAAAAGAAAATATCTTGGAAAAATGTTCATAGTTTTTGTTGCTAGAAGGCTCAAAAAACAAGTTTTTTGGTGATGGTTGTATTCTGTTTTATAACTTTCAAGCAAAAAAGCTGTGACGGAAAAAAAAGTTTTTGAACACGTTTTACAATAAATATTATAAAAAACAAAAAAACCAAAAAAAAATTATACATTAATGTTAAATTTAGTTAAGGACTTTAATTTCAATTTCAATGTTTTCAAATGCTACATAAAAAGTTTGTAGCTATAATATTTTTAATGTAATTAATTGAACTAAGTAAATATTGTTCCCGATTCAGTTGATCTTAATTTCAGGCTATACTTTGTGCATTTCTACAAATTTACTTTGTGTCAATCATTTTCAATAATTTCTCGATTTTCGTATCCCTTTGAGTACCAATTCCTTATGTAAATTAGTTTTAATTCTGTTTAAGGCGCATTATTCAAAACAAACTGTTTTCTTGCTTAAATCCAAATTCAATCAATGTTCAGTGTTTTACAACTTGTTTAAATATTAATTGGCAAAATAAATATAGAATTCATTTCGATGAAAATTGCATGCAGAAAATCTGTGCGTTCGTTTTGTCGGGGAGATTGGATGGACCTTTTTCAAATTTGGGATCTTTGAGTTTTTAAACTAATTCGCCGTGGAAGGTGAATTCGCCTTTACTGTTTAGCAAAGACACGAACCATGTGTATGGTGAATGTAAAGTATAAGTTCCATGTACAAAATGGTATCTATCAAATAATATTAGTGGTAACAAAATTAATAAAGCTAAATTTAAGTAGGGAATTATATTAATAACAGGCTATTTAAACTGCACATTATTGTGCAACAACTCCAGGATTTGCTCTTCAGGAGCCGTCCACTTGCATTCCGGATACTTGATGGTGCACTGATGGGGCAAATCAACTTTCCCCGCTTCGATAGCATCTCGAAAGGCGGATTGCTCCAACCAGGCCAGCAGCCAGGACCATTTGGTGGCTCCATCCAATAGATGATCCAAGTCTGAGGCCTGACCTTTGATTACTCTTTCTCCCGCACGGTGGGTCAAAATGCAAATGGATTTCAGCAGGCAGACAGATAGATCCACGTCGTTCTGAGAAACGTTCGCTCAATGACGCCCAAAATATTGGAAGGCTTGTAGCTTAAAAAAAAATTAATATTAAAATTATCAGAAAACTGATAAACAAGGTTATAGTATTTACATTCAAACTTACCCACACGATCTCCAGTTTCATTGCGATAGATCAGCTTAAAGTTATCAAAAATTCCAGGAAAGCTAGGGCTATCATCGAAAAGACCCCTGGCTGTGGCATTTGAAGAACTGGGTGCTGGTGTAGAAGAGGGCGAATCCTCCTCCGAAGACTTGGGTTTGTGTGTGGAAAATTCCCGAAAATGGGCCGCTGATCATCTCCCGTGATGGCCTCCAGTCCCAAACTCCGGATCAGGTGGCCCACAAGGACTCCGCCGGCCACCACGAGTCCACAGCTAACCACTGCTGCTGAATTCACAATAACTAAGGGCTGAGGAAGAAAGACGTCTTAGGTGTATACAAAGGTATTCAATTTATAGTCACAATCACCAATCACGTTATATCATATCTTATAAACACTCTTAACAGAACCTCACCTTAGGTGGCGCATTCCTCTTTCGCTTGACAGGAACCTCCAGAAAGGGCACTAGATAATCCAGACCCAGAGCTATGTTATTGCCGACCGCATCGAAGGATATGAGGTTGAACCCCTGGCCAGGATGGGGTCCCGCCTGCTTGGATAGTTTCCCAGATCCTGCTCCTGCTGCTCCTGCTGCTCCCCCTCTCCACTGCCGGCCCAAATAACGGCACAGCTGGCCAGGAGAGCGATGTCAGGTACAATATCTTCATTTTCCCGCTGACAGATCCGTTCGGCTGCGTAGTTGATGAACATTTGAATCAATTTCCCAGGCGGTGTCACCACCAGACTTTTCTTCCACCACGCCGCTCTGCTTCGATGGGTTGCCTGTGCACTTGGAAAAAATAATACCACTTTTATTTTGAAATTTTTCATCACCCAGGTTATTAGAAATTTAATATATCTTTTACGGAACTTGCGATTAGACTTTTATTTCTAGGAAATCTTCCCATTCTTGTTAAGCGGTCACATTTCTTACCTTATTTTAAACATTATAACTGCTTTAGATTTTTTCCGGTGTAAATACCGCTTGACTGCCTCTTGGCTGCTATACTTTTTTGACTGTGACTCTCCCACTCTTATGTGGAAGACAAAATGCTACAAAGTGGGGAGTGTGACATAACAGGTAGGAAGTGCGAAAACGATTAGCTGGAGGAAATGTCGGGCCAGATGAAAGCGGAAGGTAGCTATAACCACCTTCTCTAATTGGCGGAAGTGGCAGAAATTAATCCAATTTTCCGGCATTTCCATTACATAAGAAAACATTTGTTGTGGTGGAAAACATATGTGATATCTATCACATTTTTCTTTTTATTTTAAATGTATTTTCTTACGAACTTTTGCACTTATAAATACAATAAAGCTAGGACAAATAAATAAATAACTATAACAATGTTTTTTAAAGTATGTATCATCCATTAAAGAACTTAAGAACCTGAGGTAAACCCCCAGATTTCCAGTCTAAGTGATTTGGCCATTTGCAACTGCGATATGTGTGGGTGCAACTGCGATTGCTCCTAGCGGATTGGATGGCATGGAAAACTGCAGTTCCGTCCACAAAAGAATGAAGCCAAGGGGAGCTGAAATTAGAGATTAATATATTTAGCAGCTGTTTATATATCTTATAATAATCTTATAATATATATACCTGGTCAATACATTTAGGACCCTGGCATATCCGGAAGATGTGTTTTGCTGCAGATAATGGCAGATCATACGCTGTACGCAGATGGACATATCGATGTTATGCTCCTCTAGCTGGGATTCCACCACATCAGTTAGCCGGCGCACTATTCCCAAAATCATACAGTTAGAACCTGAACTGAAGATGTTTCCTAATAACACTTACTGCCTCTGTCTGGGTCAGACTTATAGCCATAGCCACTGGCCACAGAAGTGATACTAGGGGGGCTATAAGTAATCGAACCACCGCTGCAATCACAGCTCCTGCGGCCACGACGACTGCTGTATTTATAATAGCCCCGGTTCGCAAATTAAGGATGCTCTGGACGGCATCTCGGGCCAGTTTCATGCTCCTCTTCACGGGATCTTGAGAAAGGGCACTATGAACTCCAGTTCCACACTGACATCCTCGCCGCTGGCATGGAAATGGAAGCCACGACCCTCGCGCTCCAACTGGGGACTTTCATCTTCTTCCAAAGTTAGTTCCATTCTTCCGCTGTGCTGACGAGGCTCAAAGTCGCGGAATCGAAGCATTCTCGCGCTGGCATTGCCGTAAAAGTCCCCGTAGCTCAGATCACTGCCAGCCACACTTTCTCCAAAGTAACCCAATAGTGGAAACAGGGCCATTACACCCAGCAAAGGCAGTATCCGCACCAACCACATGCTGTCGTTCAAGCGGTCGGAATTCGTCTGATCGCAACTCCAAGACTCCAAAACAAAACCCCCAAAGTCGTGGGGAATTACATGCCCCATGCTCTGGCAATCAAGTTGTATGATATTCATTTAGTCGGAAAACTTGAGCGTATGACGGAGGCGCGACTTTAACGCTTCGAGGAGTGCGAATATGTTGGCGAATTCGCGATGGCAGATGGCCAACGATTGATTGAATAACGATAACTGATTCGCAAAAAGATAAGAAAGGAAAGCATGCAAACTTAAAGAAGTGATTCAACAAATTCAAATCAACTCAGATGGTGCTGCCGATAGAGCAGGGGCAACAGTGCGCGACGAAACTAACACGCTGGAAATTTACTAGTATTTATTAATGTGAAAATATTCCATTTTGGGAGTTCCAAAAGTAAATATCATATCCTTTAATTACCTTACTGATATCGAAAACTTTATTTTTAATCAGAATATGGGTCGTGTCGATTCTGTGAGTGCGTAACATACGAATGTATCCACTTTTCAAGCCAGGTATTTTTCTCGGTGTACTGGGAATCTCATGTAAACTCGCCTTATTAGAAAGACAATTGAGGGCGACTGTGGCCCGTTAAATTTGCATACTCCGCGAGTGAACTCACTTGAGGGCTGCAGTTATGTCACTAGTAGTGCGACAAAGGTTGGGTAAACAAACTGGGATTGAGCAAGATTACCTCGGGAATTGTTTAAGGCTTCCCTGGTTCCCCAGTACTTAAGCCATTTCAGCTGGCAAGTGCGTTAAACAGTTAAGGTTAGATAAACAACCTATCGTTGGAGTAATGACCTCAAAGTGAATATTATTCACCATTTAAGTTTATGGGGCTAACAAAACAAAAGATTTCAAATAATTGCACAGAAATATAGTATCTGTTATGGGTCATTTAAGGCTGTCAGGTTAAGGTTAGATAGCTAGGTTCAGGTTAGATAAACAAACAAAACTATAAAATAATTAGAGGAAACAGGAGATAGTGGTGTCAAATTGCAACCTTTAATCATTCTTTGATGTTCTAAGGTTATTATTTGTATTTCCTTTTGGGCAAATTAGTATTATTTTTATAACACTATATTTTTAAATAATAATAATAATAACCTTACATCAAACCTTTTTAAAACTGACTATGAATATATTATGTTTATGTTATATTATAAAAGCCAAAGTTTTTAATTTAGGTGTTTATTAAAACTTATAATTTAACGCGGTTGACTAAATTCGGAACGTTGGTAGGCTAAAATCGCATGTGGATAGGGGATGTGGATCGACCCGGTTAGACGAAACTAGGGGATAAAACTGTCGGAGGAGTGGGGGCCGATGGTGGGATCGAATCGCACCAGCTTCTTGGTTCTCCGCTTGGCCCGCTTCTCTGGCGCTCCTTGGTCATCTCCCGGGACCAGGGTCCCTTCGCTGGGGGGCAGTGGGTGGATAGGCGGCCTGATCCAGGAGCCGCATGTGGTTGCCACTCAGCGGGAGCTCTGAATCAGTGCTATAGTCCGGTGGAGCACGAGTGGTTGCAGCACGCTGGCGGGTTTGAGCCGCATGGTTGTTCACCCGATTGTAGATACTGGAGTCCTGGTAATCCTGTTGCAGCTGGGCCCCCGCAAAACCTCCGGCCACGCGACCCGGAACCGGCTTCTGCTTCTTCGGCTTCTTGGGGATGTTGCGCATCTTGGGCGGCTTGGGCTCCTCCTGGATGACGCCCTTGCCGTATATCCAATTGAACGGCTTCTGCCGCTCGCCCATCACACAGCTCGCGTACTGAACTGTGGCATCGGGCATGTGGGGGAACAGGCTGGGCCTCACCCAGTCGCTCTCGTCGTACTGCGTCTCGCTGTGCTTCACGTGGGAGCTCTTCAGCCGCTCCGGATGCATCAGGCCGGCCGGCGGGGTGACTCCAAAGTCGAACTCCGCCTCGCTGTCCGACGTGTCCGTCAGAACCAACTCATCCTCGCAGGAATCTATCTGGCGACGCTCGCACTCCCGCCGCACATGATATAGCAGTCGCTTCTTGTCCACGAAACTGCGGCAATAGCAGTTCATCAGGGGCTTGTGGCAGGAGCACTTGCTGAAACCCATTTCCTTGAGGCAGCGCTTCAGATCCCGCAGCTCCTTGAGCAGCGGATTCTTCACAATCCGGAACTGAACGGGCTTCATTTTCACATAGGGATTGGCGGATCGTGCCAGGGTCTTGGCATCCTTCAAAGGACGCAGCGTGATCGTGTACACATCGTTTTCTTTTCTATGTGAAGGGTGGGCACCTGCACCAGATCCTCCGGCTTTTCACCGGCCGGCGACGCGGGCGACTTCTTGTGACGGTAGTAGGACATGTATTTGGAAACGGGCACAGAGTCCACGGGAAAGTCCTTGAGGAAGTAACGCATCAGGCCGCGAATGGAGCGACGGATGGCGCCGGGTCGCCATCCTGGCTTGGAGGCCAGCGGATGGGAGGTCCACAGCCAGCCCATGTGGCTGGGCACCTTCTTCTCCGCCTCCGGGCAATCCTTCTTCGCCCTGGGTCTCTCCGGTGGCCGGTACATGGAGTAGTACCTGGACTTGAAGGGCCGCTTGGCCTTCAAGCGACGCTTCTTGGTTTTAGCCTGCTTTCCGCAGGCATCCTCTGGAGCCTCCGATTTTCCCGCCTTTTTCCTCTCGGACTGCCTTCTTGTGCGCCCTGGCCAGGTTGCAGGCCTCCGAGCAGATGTCCTGGATCTTCTGAGCCTCATCTTGGGGGTTTTAACCTTGAAGAGATCCCTTAGCTCCGCGAATACCTTGGCCAAATCCTGCGGCTTGGAGTCACCCTCCTGGACATTTTTGGCCACCGATTGGTCAGTGGCCTTGGAGTTGGATTCCCGAATGCTGCGCCGCAGGAGCTGGTAGTCCCTTACTATCGTCTCGAATGCCTCCGAAGTGCGTCCAGGATCACCCTGTTCTCCACTCGCCGCACAGCCCTCCACGGAACCCAAGTCGAAGCTAGCTCCTCGATGGGATTTTCCAGGTGATCCAGGAGAATCGATTGGGCGGTGGCTGCCTCATCGTAGGGGCGCTCCTTGAACTCCGGCACGGGCTTGTAGCCGCAGGCGGGACAGGCGGCCACCTTGGGCAGCCAGGAGACATCCTCGCCGCACAGGACGCAGGATCGGGTGTTGCTGATGTGCATCTGCCGGAGCTTGGGCGCCGAATGCTTCTGGCAGAGGCGATTGGAGTTTCCCTCGCCCAGGATGTTCCGCTGGCAGGAGGAAAACTGGGTGGCAGGACCTGCCGGAGGCTCAAAGGACACACAGCAGTCGTCCACGTTCGGGCAGGAGTAGACGGGATAGGGACCCGCCATGTCCACCAAACGAGGAGGGGCTTCCTGCCGGGGAGATTGTAAATAAATTAAGAAAAACTAAATTGCCAACTACCCTTCCAACCTGACATCCCTCGCAATTGTGGCCCCTATCCTCGCTGCAGGAGGGGGAATCCCGTCGAGAATCCTCCACGTCGCTGGGCATGAAACCCGCGCAGGGATCAAGCGAGGAGGAGGACATGAAGGAGACGTCCTGGGGATCCACATGCATGTCCATGCCCCCGCCGAGCATCCTGGCCGCTCCTGGCCGCCGCCAAACGTCGTCCGGCGACCGCGTCTCTATTGAAGTTCAGGTGCTATCAAGGATCGGTTCCTTGGTGGCGCTACTTACTCTTTGAGGGTCTGGCAGCGCATCTGCATGGCGAAGCGGAGGTTAATCAGGCCGACGGTGCAGCCCTTGCAGGTCAGCTCCACGTTGGCATCGTGTACGATCTCCTCGAAGTCGTTGATCATGCGGTTAACCACCGCCGCGGGCGGGAAGTAGCAGCCGCGAGCTGAGGGGATTGGGAGATTGGAGGATTAGGTGGGCCCAGGTTAGGCGGAACTCACTGCTCACCAATCTCCTTGCGCAGGTAGACTACGGAAATGGTGATGCCCTCGGCTAGCTGCCGCTGCAGGCACTCCGGCTCCATTTGGAAGGTCTTGTCGGGATTGAGGGGCAGGCAGTTGACCCCGATGCTGCCGGCATCCAGGCAGATCTTGCAGCCGCGGCACACGCTGGCCCTGACCTGCAGCTTGTCCCGGCACTCGAAGTCCCGCCCGGCATGTCCAGCCGCTGGACAATCAGCTTGGCGGCAAAGCAGCGCATGTAGTCCCGGTTTGGCTTGCCCTTCTGGCCAGGAGCCGGGCACCGCGGCTCGTAGACCCCCTCTCGGTTGCGGACCGGGCAGGAGGAGCAGCAGCAGGCCGAGGCGCCCTTGCCCTTCTTGTCCTTGTTGCCTTGTTGTCCTCTCCTGGTAGGTGGAGCAGTGCATGTACTCCGCCTTGCAGCTGGCCAGTCGAGTGCTGATCATCCCCGGTGCTTGTAGTAGTTATCCCAATCCATCAGCTCTTCCACCGGCTTCTCCTTCCTCTCCGCCGGCTCCGGCTTGCACTGGAACTTCTCCATCCTGGGGATCCCGGGTCGTCCACGAGTCAAGAATTTCCTTGCACAAATAATTTAAAAAGCGCTCGAGCAACGCCACAAGAATTCACATAAAAGTTTACAATTTATATAGGACCCTAAGCCCGAAGCGATCGACCTGAACTTTCAATAGAGAATGAGCTCGTTTGCCAAATCAACCTGGTATGTTCAGGCGAAGGCAAACTCACGGCATCCTGGGGATCCGAATACAATATATATATATTAAAAGGAAAAGATAACTCTTTAGGATTTAGTGTAGGTTAAATAACGAATGGTGTGGCTATTGAGTGTAGTGATTGAATAACTATATTCTCAAACCGTAACAATTGGGAAATAACAAGAACTCTAGTAAATATATGTAAAATTATTGTTAATTTTTATTTTTTTGAGTTGCCGCATTTAAATTGTTCACACATAAAGCTCATACGGTCCTCGGCTTGATCATCATTTCAGCAAAGACACAGACACCGAAATGATACCAAATCAAATTATTTGTGCTCCCAGTAAGATAACTGTAATTAAAATTTCTCTAAGTGGTGCTATGCAATAAGTTTCTAGTATCGCTTGTTTACCTTTCGCCACAATTGTGGTACCACCAACCACCTTTTGTTATAATAGCGCAATTATTTTTATTATCATTGTCGCTATCAAACGTGGAGAACTTCGTTCCTTCGTGGTATCTCAAAGAATCCCCAGCTGTCCCATAATATGTTCCCAGTGATATTAGCTTATAGAGTTCCTGCTCGCTTCCGATTTGAAAGTTATCATAGTGAGCGTGAGCAATTTTTCCATTAAATTTCATAAGCTTTATGTGCAGTTCGTGGGGCTTATCCTTAGTCATCTGGTGCAGCTTCTCCAATCCGATGAAAAAGTCTCCTGCTAAGTTTCCGAACCCATTCGTATAGTTTGCCCAGTTTCGATTGAAGTCCACTGATTCGCCCTGACGCCGTAGAATGGTCATCCAACCAGTCGAACTACAGGGAGCCTTAAATATAGATATTCCGGGTTTATATATTTTGTATATTCTATTTGTACGGCCGGTGGGGCAACTTTCCCTTCTACGACAAGAATACAGTTCATCGGTCATTTTAGTTATCGTTTCCAAATTATGTTTAGTCTGATTATTAAGGCTATCGATTTCATTGTCTTTAGTCGAAATTTGTGCTCTCAGGACTTCCAGTTGGTTATCTTTCACAGTAATTTTATCGGCCATTTCAGTTATCTTTTCCAAATCGTGTTTAGTCTGATTATTAAGGCTATCGATTTCATTGTCTTTTGTCAAAATTTGTGCACTCAGGTTTTCCAGTTGGTTATCTTTAACAGTAATTTTATCCTCCATAATCTTAATTTGTTCACTCTTATCACTAATTTCTTTTTCTTTTAACTTTATAATGTCATCTCGTCTTTTCACCTCCTCAGTTCTATCATTAATGTCTTTTAATTTAACCTTAACGTCTTCTCTTGATTTTGCCAACTGACTCTTCAGGTTACTTATAGTAACTGTCATAAAGTTCACCTTCTCAGTTTGTTCGAGTATTTGCTTATCATTCGTTTTTAAGAGATCACAATCCTGAATTTCTTTTACTTTTTCTCCTATGAGGTCATCTTTGAATTTTACTGTTGTTCTGCATTAACCAACCTAATATTTAGGTCATTAATAGTTGCAGACATTTCTTTTTCCTTGCTATTGATTGCTAACTGACTCTGCAACTTGTAAATAGTTTCCATTTGTTTCACATTTTCCTTATTATGTTCATCCTTGATTTGTAATTGGTGTTCATAAAAGTCCAACTTTCTTTTCAATTCTTTAATAGTGCTTTCTAGGTAGTAGTAGGCACTACATTTGCTTTCCATATTTAGATCAGACGATGGCGGTTCCTGCATCCATTGGTGCCGTCAACGAGATATAGCTGATCCAGGACCGAAATTATCAGAAAAATTCCTAAGATGCGCGGACTCATTTCGGCTAGTATGTGAAATGTATTATCACCGACTGCGAAAACGGAACTGATCTCAAGTTCAGAACTGTGTTTAAATTGTATAGCCACTGCTTATGTAGCCCAAGCGCTTCCCCAAAATTCCCTGAATATATGTACGTAGTAACGTATATACAGCCAAATCTCCTTATCACCACTAAACAAGTGTGCCATACCCTCAGGAAAAAAGTTGCGTATTTCGATGACAAATCCTAAACGAATGATATCAAAAGTTCGGTAAGCTCGTGTTTTCTTTATACAGGATAGAAAGAATTTCCGAATAAAATTCTTTTTCTGATTACACTTTCAATTTAAGAGCGAATACTTATTTTAAGAACGTTTGCTATACAAATTTCAAGATCGATTCCTAAAATAGTCGTTTTGCATTTTTCTTGGTGTATGGTGTCGTTATGTGTGGTCTGGTCGGCAGGCTATCTCCTAAAGACTCGCGCACAGTCCAGAGATCAGAAACCTTGCAACCTGCAAGTGCTGTATAGATAGACCTATCAATTCTCAATTCAGTTGCAGTTGCAGTCTTTACTTGGAGTGCCAAAATCATAATCAATTATTTTGCGATGTAATTGTTAAAACGACGATAGATAAGATCAGTACATATGGACGGGGGAATTGGACCTGTGCCAAGGCCTGTTCAGAGGGGTGGGATCGAAGCGGCGGGGATCGTCGTAGCCCCAACGTTTCGGAACGGGAGCTGTTTGCGTGGCTTCTTCTTTGGGGGATTTCGCATGCGGGGCTTTGGGGGATCTGCGTGGATGTTGCCCTTGCCGTAGAGCCAGGGGAACTTCTTCTTCCGCTCGCCCATCACACAGCCGCCATACTGGACCATCATGTTGGCCGGATGCGGGTACATGGTGGGCGCTGCCCAGTCGTGATCCATGTACTGGGTCTCCACATGCGCCCTGTCCGGCTGCCGCCGGCGGTCCGGCTTCAAAACGCCCGCTGGGGGCGTGACCCCGAACTCGTACTCCCGATCACTGTCGTCGTCGTCGCTGTTCGGCGAGTAGACAAAGGTGTCCGAGTTGTCCGGCCAGCCCCGCTGGCGACACTCCCTGGCCAGCTCGAACTGCATCCGCTTCTTGTCGTTGTGGCTCCGGCAGAAGCAGCTGGCCACCGGGCGGCGGCAGGTGCAGGGGGCGAACCCCTTGTCCTGCAGGGCCACCCGCATCTGGCGGAGACCCGCGGCCAGCGGATCCTTGGTGATGCGGAAACCACGGGCTTCATGTCCGCATACGGGTTGGCACTGGTGGCCAGGGCGCGGGGCTCCTTCAGCGGACGCAGCGTGATGATGTACTCGTCCCCCGGCGACTTATGTGCAGTGTGGGGTGCTGCACCAGAGGCTCCTCATCCTGGTCACCCCGATCCTTGGGGCACTTCCGGCGGCGGTAGTGGTAGCGCGACAGCAGATATTGTCGGCGGGGAAGTCCTTCAGGAAGTAGGCCATTAGCTGGCGGATGGGTCGGGAAATGGCCCCGGGTCGCCAGGACTTGTGGCGCGCCATCTCGCTCTTCGTCCACATCCAACCCATGTGGCAGGGCACCTTGCAGTAGCCGGTGTACTTGCTGTCCGAGATGCAGTCCACGTGCCCTATGCGGGGGTCTTTGGGCTCCTTCCTCGACTTCAGAAAGGTGTAGCTGCAAGGAACAGGGTTAAGCCATTGTAATTCAAAAATTCGATTTGAAGAACATTTCTTCTCGCATATCAAAACTCACCATCGGGACTTCTTGCGGTGGACGGGCTTCCTCTTGACCCTGATTTTCGGGGGCTTGGGATAGGCCCGGTCAATCTCGTCCAGGGCCCTTTGCAGCGACTTCCTGGCCTTTCGGCGGGCCTTGAACGACTTGCTCTTCCGACAGGCTGCATCGCATTCCTTCCTCAGCTCCTGGGCCACCGCATCCGCCTCGTCGGCGCCCTTCTTCTTGCCATACATATTCCGCATCTCCGTGAAGATGGAGATCAGTTGGGTGCGTCGCTGAGAGGTGTCCGAGTTGGTTTTCTTCACCGGATTCTTGATTTCTGGTAAGGATCTGACCGCAGTGCCGGGCTCAGCCTGTGGCAGGGTAACGGGCTTTACCTTGCACTCGGATTCCTTGAAAAAGTTCTCGCAGAGCTTGCGAATTCGACATCGGGTGCAGGGTTTCCCACCCAGACAGCCACATTTCTTGGGCACATTGGGATCATCGTTGACCTGGGACTTCCGGATCCTGTCGCCCATCGCCTCATCATCCTCAGAGGTATTGGAGGAGCCCAGTTCACAGGGCTCCTTGCGCAGGGAATCCCTGAGGAGTTGCTGAGCTGTGGCCGTAAGATCGTAGGGCTCCTCGCTGGGATGTATGTCCTCGAAGGTCTTATACCCGCAATAGGGGCAGGCGGAGATCTTGGGCAGCCAACTGATGTCCGAAAGGCAGAGCTGGCAGAGATTAGGCGGCCTGTAGGCCTGCTGCTTCAGTTGGGGTTCCTTCTGGGGACACAGGCCCACCAGCCTGCGACGAGCTGCCTGCTCCATGGAAGCAGTCAGGGATATGGCCTTTCTCTTTCTGGGAGGCCTGTCTGCCTCGAACTCATTAACATCGCAGGAGGATGAGGAGGAGGAAGTATCCGTGGAGGTCTTGGGCGACCGGCACTTGCAATGCCACGACGGGACTTGTCATGTGAACTCGGAGGCTTGGGCACCTTTGTCTGATCCAGGCCCAGTTCGTCGATAAGCTTTTTCAGAGCAGCCCGCTCGCGCTTCTTCTCCGTTTTCTCATCCTGGGGAACCTGCATTCCCCTCAGGAAGCATCCGCATCCCGAGGTGGCACCTCCCCTGTGATCCTTGTCCTCCTCATTGCACTGGCCGCGTGGGGACATTGGAAGGGTGCTCCGGCATGCGACATCAGGCGCTCATCCGTGATGCAACTGTTCGTGGGACATTTCCCAGAGCGTCCCAGGGTGAAGATGATGTCCCTCTTGTTAATCGTATTCTCCACCGGCCTGCACACATCGTAGCAGCCAAAAGGAATCAAGCCGTGGCTGAAAAGGATTGGTAGTTATGATTTGGACTAACCATAAGTTTGTTTAGATTGCCACTTAGATAATTCAAAATAATCCTAAGGATAGTTAACGAGTTAACATGATATTAAAAGGTATTGTAAGGTAAGGAAAATTATTGAGTTAGTTATTTTAAATCACGTCTTTTTATCACTAAATAATGTAATTTGATTGGAAAGAACATTTTGGATCTTTATCCCTTAAAAATACTCTGCTCTAGTTTAAAGCTAATTTATTTTGAATAGATACCTTTTTATCAAATCGAAGTGATACAGGGTGCATCAAGTTGATCGAATTGAGTATAATTTAGCACAGTTTTCCTATGTCAGTGCACTTACTTTATGTCCGGAGAAGCAGCGCTGATCTTTAGGAGCAGCTCCACCTCGCCAACTCTATTCTTGCCCTTGGTCAGCTCCACAGCAGCTTCTCGGTGACCGAGAAGGTGGGATCCGTCAGCTGTCGCAGGACGGGAGAGTCCAGCATGGTACTTCCCGATCCTATGAGCTCGTCGTTCTCCTTCAGGGTTACGCTTACGCCCTTGGAGGTCAGTGCTCCAATCAGCTCACAGGGACTGGCCGTAAAGCCACCCAGAGCTTCCGGCGGAAACTGATCCACCAAAACACGCTCCATTGACAACTCCTCAAAGTCTCAAACAACCTTACCGAATAGACGGGTCTTCCGCCACCTACACTAAAACTCGCGGATTTACGAGGAATTGGCAAACTGGTGTTTACCAGGATCACATCGAAGACGTAGGACTGCGCCATCTTGCGAAACTATAGATAAAATCGGGTTTATAATTGTGTTCACTGTCTAAGATTTGGCTAAAACTTTGTTCAATTTTTAAAAATATAAAACTCCAGTCTGAATAAAATCGATGTGTTCAGAAACGAATATTAAAGATAGAATGACTAAAAATGACAAGCTAGGAGTTTGCCAGATTTGAAGCTTTACAAAGATTACTTGGGTTATAGGTATACGGTTTTTTATGTATAAAAATAACATCCTTTAAAAAATATCTCTTAAATCAATAGAATTTTACATAAAAACGGTAGATCTTACCTCATAGTTGCGAAAACTTTGTACCCATAGTCTAAAAAAATCCAGATGAGTAATTAACTCTAACCATTCGTATAAACCGCTTTCTCTTCTAATCTCAACTAAGGCTATCTGATGATACATTGCTTATCTTTGAAAGCTTTTTATGTAAACAAATTCTTTCCAAAATATTTGGAATCTATTCTTTTCTGGCAAACAAGTGATTTGTACTTCGAATGATTTTATATTACGTGTTCTTATCAAAAGTTAAGTAATATTTTTAGCCGGTTTAAGGTCCACAGAGGTGACACACACACATGTGTGTATAACTTTCCCCACCTTGTCGTCAAAGCATTTTCTCTATAAATAGCTTATGAATTCTAGCAAAAAATAACACATTCCTTCGGTTTCGGTTTATGAGTAAATGAGTAGCGTATAATTATTGCCAGAATAATTTAGGATTTACACAATGGATTACTATACGTTTAACAACAGGGAGGTAACTATGAATTTGGAACTGCACTTGGTGGTGACGAGGTGTGTGCGTAACGCATATGCGGTGCGGAATCTGAAATCTGGAATCTGGAGATCCTCCAGAGACCCTTAACCGCGGGCAGTTCGCTAGCAAGTGATCGAATGCTTGGAGATCGGGACTGCGACTGGGATCCCTACTGCCTGGCATTGATGATGTCCACGAACTCGGGCTTCAGGGAGGCGCCGCCCACCAGGAAGCCATCGATGTCGGGCTTCTTGGCCAGCTCCTTGGCATTGGCAGCGGTCACGGAGCCGCCGTACTGGATGCGCAGGGTGGCGGAGACCTCCTTGGAGATGTTGTCACTCAGCCACTGGCGCAGGAAGGCGTGGACCTCCTGGGCCTGTAAGATAATTACAAGGATTAGTGTCCAGAAGTATCAAGATAACCAGAGAGAGCCCACCTGATCGGGAGTGGCCGTCTTGCCGGTGCCAATGGCCCAGACGGGCTCGTAGGCCACCACCACGTTCTTCCAGTCCTTGATCTTCTGGGCATAGGCGCACATCTGGCGGGCCACCACCTCGTTGGTCTTGCCGGCCTCGCGCTCCTCGAGGGTCTCTCCAATGCAGGCGATGACCTTCAGACCCTCGGCCAGGGCGTGCTCGGCCTTCTCGGCAATCAGGGCGTCCGACTCATTGAAGATGGCGCGGCGCTCCGAGTGGCCCAGGATCACCCAGTCGGCACCGATGTCCTTCAACATCGCCGGGGAGATTTCGCCGGTGAAGGCGCCCTTGGCCACCTTGTAGGCATTCTGGCCGGCCAATCCCAGTTCGCAGGGCAGCAGATTGCGGGCGTACATCAGGTAGATGGACGGGCAGCCGATGACCACCTCGGTGTTGGGGTCCAGGGAGGCGGTGCTCAGGGTCTTGGCGATCTCGGCGATGGACTTCTGGTCACCGTTCATCTTCCAGTTTCCTCCCACGCAGAATTTACGGCCGCTCATGGTGTTGCTGTTGTTGGTGTTGCTGTCGTTGCAATCGGTACTGAAATTGGCGTAGAACTGGGGATAGGGTGTCTATAAGTCGAGTGTTGGGAACTGATAATTTCAGGTGGGTATCTCGGTGACTGGAGGCTCGTTGTCAACTTTTCCTCTTAACTTTCGCCTATTTTCTGATTTCCCCGGCTCATAACACACCCACCTCGAAGTTCGTCTGCTGATGTACTAACCTTCTTTTGACCTTCGTAAGTCTTCCACTGGCACTTGAAAAGCTTTGGAAAAACAGCTGTGAATTTGCCCAGAAGAGCTTGCGAAACGACGCCTTTTAGTACCTCCGCCGTGACACCACCCACAGTGGGATGGTTGTGATCCATGGTGGGGATGGTGTGATGGCGGTTCTGGTGATACTGGCAGTGCTGGAGCAGGGGTACGGTACCGTCGGAATGCGCTGGATTCGTTTACTATAGACTCGGTTAGCACTTTCAAATGCATTTCCAGCGTGGTTTTAATGTCTCCAAAGCACTGCCACAATTTTATGTTGTTGTCAAAGATTGTAAAATAGTAATTCTAACATTATATAAGCGGCTTGCTGGCATTTTCAAATTTATTTTGGTTTCCGTCTTAGCAGGGACTGAAACCTTCTCGGTGGGGGAGTCTTTGGAAGAGGTTTTCGGCTGTTTTGGCGTCGCTTCCAGAAAGCTATATTAAAGCTTTTTGATAACAGGCTTGCCACCATTCTCTATAGGAAAAATGCCATGCAAGAACTATTTGTACACCCTTTCAAAAAGTATATTCCATTTCGATCAGCATTGATTATATATTTCAAAAAATTCCCATAATATAACCAAAACCCCCTTAAAATCAAACACTCCATTACTACTTATTCTTGTTTAATCGCTTTATTTAACTTCAACTTTGAAATTCATGTTGCATGGCTTAACTTGGTTTTCACAGACGTTCAGGTATACATAAGCAGACACATACACATTAAAATACTCTAACAACATTAAACATATGTACACAATTAACTAGTCCATAGAAACGTATCTGACGGTACACTCGAAATAAATGCGCGTAGCTCCTAAGCTCTGTATGTCACTACCCAACTAATTGATCTAGATCCGATATAGAATTTGACAACGTTTTCGGAGAGAGAGAGAGAAGTACTTAAGGTAAAAGCTTTGACTTGCGAGTATTTCCTCAGGGGTCGTCTTCCACCCCTTCTATATCTTTCTGATCTTGATTCTGACTCTGAACCTTTTCCATTGGATTATCCTGATGACCAGGCGAAGGTCAACTTTCTGCACTGGTCGCCAGAAGCGAGGGCGAGGAGGTGGTCAGACCGGAACCACCACTGGAACCGATCCTTCCTGATCCGGCACCTGGACCATGGGCGGCGGTGGTGAGGGGGTGGGCGTGGAGCCGAAGACGAGGCCGTCGATGAGGTGGGACGGGCGTTGTGGGGCTGGAGGAAGTGGAACAGGTTGGAATGCTGCATGAAGCTGCCCACGGATCTCAGGGGACCGAAAAGTTCTCTGAGGGATGGTTGGATGGCTGCGATTGCTGTTGCGGGAGGATCCCTGACCCTGATCCAGATCTTGCTATGCTCGTCGTGGACCCCTTTCCCTTGGCAATGGAACTACAATTGCAGGATCTGCTCTTCTTCAGGGAACTCCTGGTCAAAGCGGTGCCCTTACGGTACTTGGGTTTGTGCCCATTGGAACCAGGACTCGCCTCACTATCGATCACAAAGACACCCGATCCGGATCCCGAATCCTTGGATCCTGGCAGGCAGTGAGCACTGTTGGAGTTGCCAGCAAATAGCTTGGCCCGCAGAAGAGCCGGAAGAGGGCCATTTGTGGGGGAGGTCTGTGTGGACAGGGGTCTCTCCCTGCAGTCTGCATCCATGGGAAGCTCCTGGATGTTACCCATTGGCGGCCTGGAGTCCGTGTCATCGGATCGAAGCTTCTCCCGCATGACCAAGGCCAAGGAGCGTCGCAGCTCCACAGGATCTATGCCTGGCTGGGGGGATTGGGCACTGAGCTGGCTGGCACAAAGACATCCTCGAACTCCAGATCGTCGTCATCCTCACCTTCATCCTGGCTGAAGCTATAGTTGTGGTTGTCATAGGAGGCGGACGGAATGTGGGCTTGGCCGAAGGAGGGGCAGGAGCTGGAGGAGCAGGTGGCACAGTGGAGCTGCTGCTTCGCTGGGAGGCCGGAGCAGCAGGGGACGGGAACTCGTAGCTGGTTTCACCCAACTCCGCGCCACTGGATGCCTCCACGATGTTCCACATTTCCCGCTCGATCTCCGTGGTCACCGAGGCAACGGCGGCCACCGTTTGGTTGATGTTATTGAAACAGGGAGATACCACCCCACATTTGGGCAAAAGTTGGGAGTTCTTCAGGGCCTCCTGCTGCTGCCTCAGCCAAATGGGTGAATCTGCGGAAAAGGTATCCCAAATTATAGGGGTTTTGCAGCCAAATCCCTGGAGACAACGCGCACTCACACTCACCCACATAGAGGCGCGGCTGCGTGGAGCGCATATTGGAGTCCATCGACTGGAGGCGATGCTGGCTGGCCACCGAGAACCGGTGGATGGCCTCCGCCTGCTGGTCAATGTCCACGCCCATCATCTTCAGCAGCAGGTTCTTCAAGGCAGCCCGAAAGTCCTTCAGGTGGTAGGCGTACAGCACCGGGTTCACAGCCGAGTTCAGATGCGACAGGATGATGCAGAAGAGCGTCAGTCTGGGCGCCACATAGCATGTGGGACAGAAGGCCTTGATGCAGTTGATCGTGTACAGCGGAATCCAGCAGATCATGAAGAACAGCACTATGATCGAGAGGTTCTGGGTGGCCTTGACGTCCCGCTTCCTGGCGGCCCCCAGAACCCGCAGCATTGTGCCCGTGTGTCCAGCTCTTCCGGGAGTCGTCACCTGTACCACTGCCGCCGAGGAGCGACGACTGAGATCGGAGGCGGGGTTCATCGTTACGATCTGACGGACCTGGGGTTGGGAGAATTCAAATTGATTAGAAAAATGCAATCCATCTTGGAGGTAAGACTTTTCAAAATTCGCTTTAAAGGTATTGTTCTTCTTATAAAAATCTTTAATCAATCAGGGTTAACTTTGCATAGTTCTGTTCTTTTCAGTAAAACTATTATCGTATTAAAGTTATGATTACCAAACAAATGGCTTACATTCTAGGGCATGGTACTCTAGTTTTTAAGAAGATTCAATCCACTCACCTGTTTAATGATCACCCGGTAGATGTGCGTGTAGAAGCCCAGCATCAGGAGAGCCGGTGTGATAATTGTGGCAAAGTAGAGGAAGACGAGGTAGTTGTAGTCCATCACCTCGACGAAGAGGCACTCCTCGTCGTACTTGAACTCCGTGTTGTACCAACCGAAGAGAGGCAGGAAGCCCACTATCGTCCCAGCCACCCAGCACATCGATATGATAACTGCAAGGAAAGATGGGCAAGGGTTTATCAGAGGGCCTTGAACCGAAGCCGCTGCAGAGGAGGAGCTTCCCCAGACGTCATATGAGGGGATTGCAGAAATCCCCTGGGGCAACTATCTTCTTCTCCGCACAGCTTTATATTAACTTTTATCGAACTGCGGGGAACTAAACTGCCGAAGAGGGTGAGTTTCGAACAAATGACGCAAATAATGTGCCCCCTAATCACTCATTTTCTAAATCAGCAGTTGGGCTAGAAAAATGTCATTCAACTCATTGAATGCTTCTGCTTCATCTTAATCCTGAATGTTCTTTCTGACTTTTAGATTTCATTTTCTCACTACCATTGTTCTTATAAGACATATAAAGCGGAAAATTAAGTTCCCATCTTTTTCTTTAATCTTAGATCTGCGTCTATCGAAACCTTGTGTATTTCAGTTTAGGATTATTAGTTAAGAACTTTCGTGCACTGTTTTTACGGCATCTGTTCCATTGCAGACAGTCCTTTGTCTTAGCCAAGCCACAACTTAAACATGGTCGATGGCAGGAATGGAAAGGAGAACAATGTGGCTTATATTAGCCATCCAGAGTCATTAGCATCACGGCAACAAAGGCACAATACTAAACAATGGACACCTCAAAGCGAGAATTGTTTGACAATATCCTTACAAAGAAGTGAACTCAAAAAAGCGCCGATGAATGGTTCTCCTTTTAAAAGCTTGAGGATGGGTATTTTTAAAACCATGCAGAGGGTTTTCCCTTCTACAAATAAATACATATAGGTTATATATCTAAGGAAAATGTATTTTTAAAATAAAAGTTTTCATACTATCTTGAGGTTTTTCCGTTTTTGCATAAGAACCCATAAGCTACTGACTACCTATAGTCTATTGTAGAACCTTTATATGTATCTCATAGACCTAAAAAGTACTCACATATCGCTGTGCGGGTGCGGACGTTCCGTGAGTAGGCCATTGGATACAGGATGGCCCAGTAGCGGTCCACGGAGACGGCCACCAGGCAGAAGATGGAGATGGTGCAGAGCACCACGAGCAGCGAGACGGTGAAGAGGCAGGCGTGGAGGTTCCTGGGCAGCCCAATGGAGGCCAGGATGGCGAAGGGTATGCCCAGGCAGCCCACCAGGAGATCGGCCATGGCCAGCGAAACTATGTAGTAGTTGGTGCGGCGGCGCAGCTTGCGTTCCCTGCGGAAGACGATGATCACCAGGACGTTGCCGATGATGCTGACAATGGCCACGAGGACCTCGAAGACGGTGTAGGGGATGTTCAGGTCGGAGCTGGGACTATCCGAGCCCTTCATATCCTTCTCCGTGTGGGCCGCGTGCAGCGGGAGCAGCGGTCCCTCGAAGGAGAAGTCCGTGATCGAGAAATAGCGAAAGGCGGACATTTTGGGTTCGGGTTTCCTGGGGGGTTTCCCTCTTCCGATCGAGTATTCGAGGCTGGTATCAGTGGCTAATGGAGGGCGAACAGGGCGGAACAGGTGGGTGGACTTCAATTACAGAGCCCGCTGGCGTGTGAACTCCCTAATTGACTCGAGGTGGCCGTGGCAGTAGCAGCGATAGTAATAGCACATGCTGCGCATTGCGTATACGCCATGCCCGCCGCCCTGCGGTTGCTCCTGCTTCCCGCTTTCCCTTTCTCCGCTTTCCCTTTTTTCCTTTCCCTGATGTATTTGTTTTTCTGCTGTCGACGTTCTCTATTTAGCTGGAAAAAAGAGGAAAACTTAATCATCGTTCGGCACGTTTGTTACACACACGCAGCACACAACTTAATTGTAGCAATTTTTTAGTGTAATAAATTGATAAATATTTGCCAAAAAATACATGTGCACAGCGATAACGTGTCGGTAAGCTACATTCGTGAAAACAACAAAAGGAACGCCCCACTATGAAGTACCCTGGATAATCAAAAGGTACTCGAAGGCCATCAAATTCAGGACTCAAGGATTACATTGAAAAATGTTGAAACTTCCATGGCTTTATGATGATGGTGGCTTGGTTTCGGCTTATGGGGGATGGAGTAAGGGGTATCTATAGCGAGTACACAGAGCTATCTGATTCGTGTGCAGCAAATACAAAGCTCGAAAAGCAAACAAGTTCCGACCAGCAACAAAATCAATTGCCAGACAATCGAACCGGGTGCTGTAGAACATCATAAAAAACGTATAAAAAGGAAGGAACAGCCAGAACAACACAGAAACAGACGTTCCATAAATAAGAGAGCATCATGCACTGGGAAAAAATATAAATAGTCATCATTTAAGATTAGTTTTTAGGCTATAAATAATAATAATAAAAATTTCATTCGAAAAAAAAGATTCATTACTCATCAGTTTATTTGCTAAATACTTACTTAGTCACTAGCTCTATTTAAAAATTGTAATCACATACAAGTATTATTCATGCGCTGTTTTTAAGATTTTATTTTTAATAATTTTTTAGCGAGAGTATAGATTGCATCATAGTTTAATGAAATCCCAAATAATATTTGAAAACAATCCATTTCTCAGTAGTGAAATCTACCCTATTTGTTTGCTTAGATCTGAATTTGTTTAGGTGTATCCAGACATTCAGACTGATTTTTCCGGGTGCACTTTCTATATCTCTTGTAGGATTTCCCTTGTTTACCGCCACTCGAGCGTAGAGTGAGGCTGAAAGAGGTTCCGGGATTTGTCCCGCAGGAAGTCGCGCCGCGATATCAAAAAGCGTGTGAGCGGTTGGCTTAAAACGCGTGGTTGCCAACTGGAAGCCGTCACTCAGGAGCAGAATCGGGAAAAGCGGGAAAACAGAAATGGGAAAGGATGGATGGGATGTACATATGGGTGGTCGGGGGAAACTAGGGACAGGGAGGTATGACTGCTCAATCGAGTGTTTTGGCGGCGAGAGTGCATCCATCAAAAGCCACGACAACAATTCGCGGGACATGAAAACGTTTTCCATTTAATTGGCCCCCTTTCCGCCCTTTGCCACCACCTGGCGATTCATCAAGTGGAAAGTGGAAAAGTGGAAAAGTGGAAAGTGAAAGCCAGCCAGGATGGAGGATGATGGCTATTGTACTTCATCAACGCGCAGCACTTAGGCACCGGGCACCAAGGCCCGGGGAAAGGGCTTGTCGAATTAACGCCGTTATTTAGCCAGCCCTTATGGGAGACACCCACTTATTGCCCAACTTATTGGCTATGGAATTTATGCTGAGGCGAGGTCAGAGGTCAGGGGTCTGGGGTCTGGGGTCAGGAGTAGTCCCCGTAGACCCTGTTCGCGTGCTGAGTCCTCGGGTCGACATCCGGAGCAGGTCGATTCGCTTAATTGCCTTTTGCCTAATTAATTCAATCGCAAAGGGGCAGCAACAGGCAGCGACATTTGCATTCCCATTCTCATTCCATTCCCATTCCCATTCCATTCCCTTTCCGTTCACATTCCCATTCCATTCCCGTTTCAGTTAAAAACTCAATCAACAAATGGCACTGCGATGGCCCGATTTAATTAATTTGGCCAACGCAATTAGCGATCCGGACTGCGTGAGGCCAATGCCAAAGAGTCGCCCCCAAAGAAGAGCCCAGGTCAGTGCACCTGACACCTCGCAGCTTAATCGGTGCACTGGGAGAAACTATGGGGAAGACTTTGAAATTTTATAGATCTAAGGGTGCAGTGTATGGAATTATGGGAACTTATAGCTTCCGATAAACAGATTGAAAAATGTATACAGTTTTAGTCCTCCTCTTTTAAAAGTTTATTTATGGAATACAAAAAGATGTTGAAATGGCCTTTAAAAGTATAATGTTCTCTAAATAATGGCTATATTTATAGATCCCCAATCCCGATTCTATCACTTGAGATCAAATTAATTTCTTTTTATTGCAAATCATATAAAACTAAACCGTATTATATGATTTGTAATTACTTTTTCTTCCAGTACACCTATGATTTGTTTGAATTCATTTGTTGAATTCATTATGACACTCTCTGAATGACAAGCCATAGCTCAATCACGAGCTGTAGTGAAGCTCTAACGCGTTCATAATTTGAATCGGTCTCTAGGACAGGCTTATGGTATGATATGGTATGCCTGCTTGGTGGGCGTACGTGACTGGGAATCGGAATCTGCTGTATAGCGGACCCGAGTGCTCCAGTTCAAGGCAGTTCCGTCCTTGGCAGATCGCATAACATAACTCATACGCCCCGAGGTTCGCCAATTTCCCCACCCGAAACAAGTGTTCAAACTTTTCGCGCATTTGTCAGGCTCATAAAAGGGTGGTAAGTGGCATGGGCTTCCATTTCCCTGGGCTCTGCCTAATCCCAGCTGCTCCACCCTCCAAAGTGTTAGTGCAGGGCTGTCAAAATCAGTTGGCATTAAGTTTATTACCATGTCGCCATCGAATTGGCCACTTTCTTGGCCTTGCCAGCGGAATAACAGCCAGAAAAGTGTTTCCAGCTCGCTGCATCTGCAGTGCACACTTGCGCTTTCTTCTATCATTTTTGTGCACTGAGAGAAATTAAGTTATGTTAATGTTAATTGTTTTAAATATATTCTATAGTAAAACTATTTAAAAATAATTTAATATCTCCAAAATATATCTTAAATGAAAGTATAATTTTAAAGGGAGTTCTATAACAGTACAATTATAATTAATTTAGGTAACACCGAAAAACATATTTTCCTCAGTGTGGTTGCTATTTGAGCTGGTTGGCAGCAGATAAAGTGCGTTTCTATTACAAGGCGCTATCTGGGGAGGGGCGTTGAAAAATGAGGGTGGCGATAAGGATGGAAGGACCGCGGACCAAGGACCTTCACGTATAACCCCTCTGGTAAAAGTTGAGCTGTTGCCGATAGCTGTGAACTTGCACTCGACACGTTCTCCATCTGCTGGCTCAGATTCAAATGTATCTCGAATGAGGCGAAGCTAAATCTTCCTGCGGCTGCTTGAACTTTAAGATTGGCTCTCCATATTCCTTTTTTCCATTTTATACTTCCGTATTTTCCCCGGGCCATTTGTCTTCGTTGCGTTTTTTGTGCGTAGTCATCCTGCGTCGCTTCACACGTTTAATTACGGCAAAACGAGTAGCTGCAGCTGGAAAACCCCTATATATTCTATACACCAACCACCTCCGCCCACAGTGATACGCAATTTTTTCTGCTTTGGAGAGCTGGCAAATTAATTGGTGAAAAGTTCTTCCTATGCCTCGGCCTGAGCAGATTGCACTTTGCATAGTTCTCGTTCGTAATTGCGAATCCTTCTAAATGGGGTGATACACTGATGCACATACATCAGGGCAATCGACTGGAAATGCAATATAGATTCCGGCTCTAACCGGTTCTGAATGAAATGAAAAAAGAACAGGAAAAAGCGTTGTGCTAAATATACATATTGGATATCCCTTCAGTGGCTAGGAATAAGGCCATAAATAGCTCAAATCTTCACACGTCACAGGTGGCTTATCGGCCAGTCATCATTGGCAATATCGGATCGGATTGGGTGCTCAATTGCTCGATTGCCCGATTCCGGTGGGGATTGCATTGTTGAAGTACCCAAGCACGTTAAGATCACGTGCAGTCTGCCCATTGCATTTGAATATTGGATATCGGTTGATAGTTGGGCAATGGGGGATCTTTGATGGAGCAGCCCTACTTCTTCCTGCAACTAATAGTTGCAAAATAACAGTTGAATCCATCGTCTCCGGGGAACAAGTGACGAGTTTCCCATGTCAGGGCGCTGGCATGTTGATAGATAACTATATAGTAAGAGGGGTCTGGTCCGGCAAATAAATACGCCGGGCCAGCAAAAGTCCCGGGGTGAATAATCACCCGTCAGAACCATCCACAGTGGATCGGGAGGAAGTGTAACCCATTGTGAACTAAGCTTAGTTATATGAATGAACTTTTAAAGCTTAAAATTTTTTACCTTCAATTTATTTTGGATTTAGAAAAAATATATGTGCAACCCATATATTTATTATATAGTACTATTGGGAAAGTATATCATTTATTATAGTTATCGATTATTTAAAATACATATAGTTTCCTTATTCGAGTGCCAATTCATGGGCTTGTATTTACTTAAATCCTATATATTTAAGACGTACAATAAAGTTTGTATGAATAAGGTATTTAAGTGTTATAATGTAAGATATTTCCATAACTCCTTCTATTTTTATGCCACAAATAAATCATTTATAGCTGAGCCCACTGTGCGGTACAGTGAAAATGGGATGGGCAGATGTCCCCAATTCCGGCAGTTGACAATCGCCAATCGGCAATCGGCCTAGGAGTAATATGAGTTATATGGCAGAGGAACACGAGTAAGGTCCGGCGGCTACCGCATTGCCCAGTGACAATCGCAATCGCAATGAAAGTCACAGTGACAGTAATGGTGGTACCAGTGATAGTGATAGTGACACCTCCATCAGAACCGAAAAACCTTTGTGTCCTGAGGTGAGCAATCGCTAACGAAGCAGTCGCAAATGCGAGATCATCATTTCGGCCCTTATCTGACTTTTTTGGGCGGTGTAAACATGTGAGTAAATGTACGTAATTAAATGTTATGAGTTTGTTATCTGCGCGCCTTGTTTTCGAGGCTTTTTGGGGTCCCAGGCTGTCTCCCAATTATTTGGCATCCGTATGTGGGGCACATAGCCTCTGGGGGCTTTGTTTTATTTTTTTTCGTCCACCAGCCGGACAGTCGAATCAATCAAGCTGGAGACACCGCA